CGGCGCTGCCGGGCGTCAGGAGGAATCCGGGCTCCAGGTTCAGGCTGTCTGCAAGAGAGAGAGAGAGAGAGAGAAGGCGGGGGAGAGCGCAGGGCCAGCGGGACCCCCACTTGCCAACCCACACCCACCCACCCCGCCGCCCGCCCGCCCGCCCTTACCCTGGTCGAAGCTGAGCTTCTTGGCCGGCGGGGGCGCTTCGCCCAGCAGCTCCCGGGGCGCCTCCGCGTCGTTCAGGGCGCTCAGGGTCACGTCCGCCTTGGGCTTCTTGGGCTCGGGCGGCGGGGGCGCGGGGCCGGCGGGCGTGGGGCCCGGGGGCGGCTTCCGGCCGGCAGGCTTCTTCGGGGAGTCGGCGGGGGGCGGCGGCGGCAGCCCGGAGTCCTCGTAGGCCTTGCGCTTGGCGGCCGCCTTGAGCTGCGCCCTGCGGGGAGAAGGCGGTCAGCGGGCGGGGGGGCGGAGGGGATGGCCGGGGCGGGGGGGGGCGGGGGCGGGGGCGGCTTACACGGTCCGGTCCTTGATGAGGGCGCTGATGCGGTGCAGGTCGTCGCCGAAGCGCTGCACGGAGGCCCGCAGGAGGGCGATCTCGGCGTCCGTCCACTTGGCCCTGCGGGACGCGGACAGTCAGCGCCCCGGCCGCCCTCTGCGCGACCCCCGCCGCCGCCGCCGCCCCCCCAGGACCCCCCCCCCACGCTCACCCGGCCGGGGAGGAGTCGGCCACCGGGTGCAGCTGCATCGTCAGTTCGCCCAGCTTGGTGAAGGCGGCGCCGGCCGCGGAGAAGATCTCGCCCACCTGCGGTCGGGAAAGGCGGTCAGGCGGGGGCGCGGGCACTCTGCACGCCCTCAGAGGCGCCCTCGCCCCGGTCGGCGGGTACCTTGGTGGAGGCGGAGGTCATGGCGGCGGTTCCCTCTATGGTGCGCCCGTGCGCATGCGCCCTTCCCCTGGGCCGCTCCTTCCGGAAGCTCTATGGCGCGAGGCGGCTGGTCGCGAGCCAGTGGCAACCGGGCCCACCGATCCGCTGAATTCCGCCGGGGGCGACCCCGGCCCGCGTCTCTTCCCTCCCTCCCCCCTGCAGCGGAGGACAATTCTGCCAGGAAGACCCCCCCCCAGGCCGCCCCCTCCCTCCCTCCCTCCCTCCCTCCGGCAGTCTCCCCCTGCCCACACCGAAAGAACCGCCCCCCCCTTGGAAAGAAGAGCAGCAAAGAAGTCAGATCCAACATTGTTTATTGCACAAACGACTCTTTCGGGCCCCGGCAGTGGGAGGGGGGGGATGCTATTGGGGCAGGGCCACTCTGACCCTTCCCTTCCCCCAGGCGGGGGGCATGAAGTGGGGCGCCCGGGTCAGGGAGGAGGCGGCTCCTTCCAGCCCCGGGGAGGGACCTGGGCAAAGCAGCATTACGATCAAGACAAAACGGGCGGCCACACGCACGAACACGGCTGACACTGGTGCGGGCTGGCTGCTGGCAAGCCGGGCAAATCGAGGCCCAAGCCTGGAGCCAGGAAAGTGCCAAGGGGGGGGGGGGNGGCGGGGCACACCTCTGCTATTTACACAACATGGTAGTTCTGTTTTGGTCAGCCAAGGACAAAAGAGGAAGGGCGGTGCCCACTGACCTCTTCCTCGGGTTTAAATAAAGGGAGCCAAGGGCAGAGCGGAGGGGGACGGAGGTCCCCATGCTGCTGGCCGAGTGAGAAAAGGGGCTCCACACACAGTGCCAGGAGACCCCCCCCCTTCTCTTTCCCGGTGCCGGACAGGGACACTTTCCTGCACAAGAGGGAGTCGACAGAAACGGGGGGAGGGGCTCCAGCAGAGTAGGGGGTCATTAGCGGACCAGGTACTCCTTCCGTTTGTTGAGGCGCACTTGGCAAAAGCAGAAGCCCCCCAGGACGAAGTAGAGGCCGGCGGCAATGAAGCAGTTGTAGCTGACTTGGTCATAGAGCGCGTGGATCTTGGTTACCCCGGACCTGCGGCAAAGAGAGGGAGACGAAGGATGGCTCATTGCGGACAGCGGCTTTCTGCCCCTCGCCCCCCCCGCACACGCACAACCACAACCACAGGCCTTTCCCGGGATTCCCAGCCCCTCACCACCGGCCCCTGGCCCCTCCTCCCCCCCCCCCGCCGTTGACACGGGAAGGCCCAGGTTCCCAGGGGAAGAGCGAGCCAGGGCAGGAAGCTTCTCTGGAGGGGGCGGGCGGGGGGCTGCCGCCTTGCTTCGCTGAGGGGGGGGGAACTCACGTGAAATCTTCCTCGCTGGCTGGAATGTCTTCAATCAGGACAGCGGAGTGGACGTTGAAAAAGAGGCCCAGGAGCACCTGCGAGGGGGAGCAGGGGAGCAGGTCGGCGGGGAATGGCAGGAGCCCCCAGTAGGAGGGCGGGAAGCCCACCCGAAGGTCATCCTGCCGGGCCCGCATCGCGGCAGCTGGGCCGGGCCGGAAGGGGTGCGGGGCTCTGCGCCCACCGACCCCCTCGGGCGCCTTGACGGGCCGGGAGCCGAGCCTGCGCCCCGACGGGCAGCGCGGGGAGGACCAAGAGGGCGGCTTCCGGGGCAGCGGGCAGGAGCTCCGCGCTCCCGAAGGGGCCCAGCATCGGGCGGGCCGGGGCCGCTCTCCCAACCCCGTCCGGCAGGCAGGGTGGCGGGCAGGATGGCCGGCGCGCGTCTTACCAGCATGATGACCCCCCAGACGCTCAGCACGATCCCGCAGGCGGCCATCTTCGGCCCGCAGCACAGCAGCGAAACCATGGCCCGGCGGAACCACGAAGCCCCCGACCGAGCGCCACCCGCAGACTCCGCCGCCGCCGCCGGCCGCCCTTGGCAGGTCACCAGTGGAGCGCCACCACTCGCGCGAGGGAGCAGGGGACGTCGCTGCTTCGCTGGCCTCCCCTACGCCGGGAAGCGATGGACGAGCCCGACGGGGCGGGGCACGAGCGCAGCGGAGACGCGCATTGGCCGCTGCGCCGCGGAGCGCCCCACTCCGACGGGCGGGGGTAGAGAGCGCGCATTTCGAGCCTGCAGTGCGGGCTGGGACGAGGCAGAAGTAGACCCCCCTGCTGGTATCACATGGACCGGTCCTCTTCGCAAAAGCCGCCGGCCCGAAATCGGCGGAAAGCCCCGACGCGTCTCCGCTCCCCCCGCCCGAGAGAAGGCAGCCCCCTCCCTCGCCCAAATCAGGCCAGTAAGCGCCGCCCGAGGAAGGGGAGCCGGCCCGGAGCCGCGGAGCCCTTCCCGCCCGTGCCCAGCCGGCCACAGCAACCCCGACGCGGTTCACGTGCAGCAGGGAAGAACTTTATTGAAACGTGGGAACGAACAGGAAACCCAAAGTCTGCTCGGGGCAGCCCCTCCCCTCCCCCCCGCCCCCTCAGGAGCAGGGCTGGCCGGGGTCTCTCTCCTCGTCGGGCGGGCAGTCCACGAAGTCCGCCAGCATGGCCTCCGTCTCGTCCAGCGCGGGTCTGCCGCCCTGAGGGGGGAAGAACCGCCGTCAGCGGGCCCTGCTGGGTCGAAGCCCCTTCCGGGCGCGCAGCAGAAGCGGCCGGCCGGGGGGACAGGGAGGAGCGGTCAAGGCTGACCAGAAGCTGCCAGGACGTGGGCGCCCCCTCCACCCACGAGGGCCCCGGAGCAAGTCCTCGCTCAGCCCAGAAGCTCCACAGAGAGAGAGGGCAGCTCGCTCAGCGTCGCCAAGGCGTTCCCCCAGACGTCCTCCTGGACTTACCCGGCAGTCCCGGCTCGTGCATTCTTTTGACGTTCCCACCAAGACTCGGGCCGGGAATGCAGCCCTAGCCCTTAGCACAGCCAGGCGGATCACCTAATGGGGGGGGGGCACCCCTCTGCCATGGAACACAACTCCAAACACACCAGCAGAGCAAGTTCCGGGCCTGGCCCTGGGGCTTCTGGGCCTGAGCCTCCGTTCCAGGAGGGCCACCTGCCGGGGAGGCGCTCCCTGGGCCCCCCCCCCGTGCCCCCTCCTCCTTCAGGGGCTCCCGTCCCCTCCTTGGGGCCTTCCCCGGGCAGGGCTTCCGGCTCTCACCTCTTCCTCCTTCACTTCCAGCACCTCTTCGTCCGGCTGCAGCAGCTTCTCCGGCTCCCCCTGCCCAGCCCCGGAGTCTGGAGCGGCCTCCGCCCGGTCCCCACTGGAGCCTGCGTGGACGGCCTCCTCCGGCGGTAGAGATGCTGCCGAGGCTGCCTCCGAGGCGCCCTCCTTTGGCTCAGAGTGGCCCTCCTGGTCCATGGGGGCCTCCAGCGGGCTGGGCCCCTCCTGCAGGGCAGGCAGAGGGAGGGGCTGGGCCCCCGGGAGCAGAGGCAAGGCCCCGTCCTCCTCCTCCTCCTTCAGCAGCAGCAGGGGCCCCATCCGCTCTCCTTCCTCCTCCTCCTGAGGGGGCTGGAAGGCTTCCTCCTCGACCTCCATCAGCAGCCCAGCTCCCCCGTCGTCCTCCTCTTCCTCCGCCAGCTTGAGGGGCCCGTCTTTCACAGCAGGCAGAAGCGCTGGAGGTTCCTCTTCGTTCCTTCGGGTCAGAAGAGGAGGCAGCCCCTCCTCTTCTTCCTCCTCCTCCTCCGTCAGGCCTTCCTCCTCCTCTTCCTCCTCCGTCAGGCCCTCCTCATCATCATCAAAGTCGTCGTCCTCCTCGTCCATCTCCTCCTCAAACTCCCCCTCCTCTTCATCAAACTCTTCCTCCTGGCCAGCCGAGGGAGAGAAGCTCCTAAACTCCCCCCAGCAGCCGCCAAGGGCCTGCCGAGGAACGGAGGCCAGCCACGCTCCCTCCGGCCGGGGCCTCCCCCATCACCGCCCTTCCCCGAGGGACGCTCGAATCCCCCCCCCACTGCAGCAGGGCCTTTGAGGCCAGGGCCACCACTGCCACCCCTGCCCCGTCCCCACCTCCTCCTCTTCCTCGTCCAGGTACTCCTCGTCCTCGGGAAAGTCCTCCTCCTCCTCCTCGCTGCTGTTGATGTTGATGACCGTGGGGGGGTCCTCCTCCAGCAGAGCCGGCAGGGGGGCTTCGGCAGCTGCTGCGACTGGGGAAGACGGCAGCACCGGCGCTGCCGAGGCAGGCGGTGGGACCCCCAGGGCGAGGGGCGTTGGGCTCTCCAAGGGAGCCTCCTCGCAGGCCACCAAAGGGGATGCGGGGAGCGGAAGGGCAGTGGGGGGGACGGGCAGAGGCGGGGGGGCTGGAGCGGCCGCAGGGACTGGGACAGAGTTAAGAGTGCCGGTCGTCTTCCCCAGCTGCCCCTTGGGCACAATGACCACGCTGTCGTCCGAGTCGCTCTCCAGAGAGATCTCAACGTCCTCCTCTTCCTCCTTGTCGTAATGGATGAACACGGAGCGCCGCAACTTGGCCCCGGTGGCCAGAGCAGCCACCTCTGCGGTGCCCGGAGAGGGAGGGGGAACGGGCTCCTCGGGGATAAGGCGAGGGGGCAGCTGAGGGGCTGCGAGCCCAGGCAGGGGCAGGCCCAGCGAGTTGGCAGGGAGAGGCCCAGGGGCCGGAGGGAGGGGGCGGGGGGCCGGGAAGGGCACCGGGACAGCCGGGCAGAAGGGAGACAGGGTGGCAGCCGCAACCGCCGCAGCAGGGGAGACCTCCGAGGAGCCGGGCAGGTGGGTGGCGGGGGCAACCAGCGGGAGCTGCAGGGATGGCACCCGAGGGTGAAGGAGGGCGTTGCAGATGACGGCAGCCTCCATGCAGAAGGAGGAGACCTGCAGGAGGAAGATGCAGAGCGCTGGGCAGGGGGAGAATCTGGGGGGACGTTGGAACGCCCCACTCGACAGCCCCAGAAAAGAGCCACCAATTCCGGGCCTCCCCCAGGGCAAAGCAAAGGACGCCTCCCCCAAACCCCCAGGGACGCCAACACGGGCTGAACCCCCAGGCAGAGGAGGTGGGGGACCCCTCGGTTTCCCCCGGGGAGAGGAAGGCACCTCACCAGAAGGTTGGGATCCGTGCGCCCCTGGCTCAGCAGCCGGAGGGCGCAATGCAGGGGCGGGGGGCAGGCAGGGGCGGGAGCCAGGCTCAAGGCCAGCAGGAGCCGGTAGAGTTCAAGACGGCAGTTGGCCCTGGCGTAGGGGGATCCCGGGGGAAGCTCCGCCTGGCCCAGCCGGATCAGCAGCGGGATCACCAGCTCCTGCAACCTCTGGGGAGGAAGGGACAGGGGCACGGCCCCTCAGCAGCAGCGCGGCGGGGGTAGGGGGGGACAGACACTGTTCCCAAAGTCCAGCCATGCTGAGCTGCTCCGTGTGCTTGGAAGACCTGAGAGGGCCTCCCTAGAGTGGCAGGGGTCTCTGAGCACGTGCAGAGGGCCTCCCGCTCAATCAGAGCTCTTTCCTCCCTTGGCACAGGTCTTCCCAGGCCTGCCTTTTCCACGCAGCCCGTGCTGCCCTCCCAAACCCCCCCATCTCGGCATGGCTGAGGCTGTGACCCCCCCCCCCCCCCGCAGCCAGGGGAATCGGCTGGCTCACCGTGTGGAGCTGCTCCTTCATGAGGCTGCCGGACAGGAGGACGGCCCTGCTCAGGCCTGGAAGAGAGAGAGGTTTCGCTTGGGCTGCCCTAGCCCAGATGTGGGGTAACCGCCAGCCCCCGTCAGGAAGGCAAAAAAGTGACTGGGAAGAGGGGGGGAGGGAGCCCTGCCTGCCCACCCCCCCCACCCCCACCACTGTCGACCTCTGGGCTCGGCCTATTAGGGACTCTGCATTTCCAGCCCCACCAAGTCACCTTGCAAGGCGGCCAGGCAGACGTCGCTGTTGGCCTGAGGGTCGTGCTTACGGAACGGGCACCCGAGGCCGCCCACCGTGGACAGCTTGGGCTTCTTCGCAGCGCTGGGCTTCCCCTCCGAGTCAGCGCTCGGCTGGATCTGGGGGGCAAAGCGGGTGAAGGAGCGCAGCCCTCGCCTCCCGGGTCACCCCCAGCGGAGAAGGCAAAGAGGGGTGGGGGTGTCTCACCTTCAGGGTGTCGCTTGGGGGGCTGATGTCGTTGATCAAGTGTCCCAGCAGGGCCTCACTTTGGCTGCTGTGCCCCAGCAGGACCCCGGAGGCTGCTCCGGCCACTTGCACCCACAGATCCAGGACTTGGTACAGACGAGCCCGAACTGCACTGAGGAGACAGGGGGGGGAGTTCCTCATCGTGCTCCCTCCCCAGGGTGGATGCGTCCCTGGCAGCAGTCGCAGTGGAAGGATCAGGCCGGGGGGGGGCAGGTTCCCTACTGCCCTACCCGGGGACAGAACAAAAGGCTAAGGGTGTCCAAGCGGCCTTCTCAAGCCACGCCCTGTGGCCAGAGCAGACCAGCTGGGATAGTGGGAGCTCAGGGTCCAAGGCTCTCGCAGAGGCCATTGGTAATAACCCCTGTGAGGTGGGCCATGGGGGGGGATGTACCGACAGCCAGCCCCAGAGGACCTGCACCACCAACCTGTAAGGCCGCTGCAGTCCAGGGGAGGGCAGATCCTGGCCAGCCTGCCACATGTTCAGCACCTGGGGGAAGAGGCGGCAGAGGGCTCCCCCAAACCGCACCAAGCGAGGACCGCAACTGCAGAGGGGAGAGACCACCTGCTTTGGGGATCTGGCACAAGCCTACAGGCCCCTGACCCCCTTCCACCCCCCCCCTTACTTACGCCAAGATAAGGGCAGCCAAGAGGTCCAGGGCCTCCAGGTGGATCGAGGGGAGCAGCAGCATCCGGAGGGGCCCATCTCCAAACCAGCTCTGAAAGCAGGGGGAGGGTCAGCCAACACCCTCTCCTGGGGGGAGCTGCCCCTCCCTCGGGGCTTCCAGGGGGTCTGATTTGCACAGAAAAGGCGCGCCTAGCTCTAACGGCCAAGCCATGCAAAAACTGTTTAAATCCCCCTCTCCAAATTCTGAAGGAATCCCTCTCCGGGTAACCCCAGCGCTGCCCACTCCCCCCTAAGACCACCCAGCAGCCCTCACAAGAGGGTGGGCCTGCCTGCCTGCCTTAAGGCCCCCACCTACGACGCAGACTTTTCTTCTCCACCCACCCCTCCTTTCCCCGGCTGCTCTGGCCCTGGAGCCCTCCTTCTGCTTTTTCCTGAAAGCCAGTGAAGCTGCGGCACGAGCCAAGCGGCACCCGGGCGCACTCACCATGTTCTTCACAGAGACGTCGAGGGCTCGGCAAACAAGGTCGAGGATAGCCTGGCCGGGAACCGCGACGGGAGCCCCAAAGTCGTTCCTGAAAGAGCCGGGGAGGCAGGTGGGTTGAGACGGGGCCCGCAGCGTGGCAGGGGCAACCAGAGAGAAAGGGGCGCCGAGTCAAGGCCAGACCTTAGCATCCGGCAGAGGCATTTGGCCAAACCCGCAAACCGGCGTTTTGCCAGGAGGAGGAGGAGGATGGAGGTGGCTTCTTCGTCCCGCGGCAGCAGCAGCAGCAGCTCCTCTCCGGGGCCATCGTAGTGCAGCGGTTCTGAGGAGAAGAGCAGGGCGTAAAGCTTCAGCGCTTATCCTCCTTTTTCCGGCTCTGGGCCATCAGCTGCCCCGGATGGGAACGCACCTGGGCTCAAAGGAAGCACTCTGGCCTCCATCGGGCGCCCGGAGATACGGGGGCTCCCCTCCGGCGCACCTCTTGCTCAAGCGGAGGCCGACCAGCTACTACTGGGGAGGAAATGGCCGGAGGGCCGTCTCTGCCTTCTCGGAAGGCAGAAGTCACTGGCGCCCACTCACCTGCCTCGGCCCCCTCGTACAGCGTGCCCAGGAGGCGGTGTAGCGTGGCCACCAGACAATGCGCTTGCTGCTCCCAGGATTCGCGGTACTTGAGCCCCTGTGCGAAACCTGCGCCCAGAGAAGGCAGGAGCGCGTAGCACTCGCAGGCCAGCTGGTGGAAAGGAAGGCAGCAGGGGGTGACGTGAGCAGCTGAGGGGAAGCATCACCCCAACTTTTCAAGACGAGGACAACTGGACAAGGAATGGAGAAGCCGGAGAGACAGCGGGCCACTCCCCTTCACTGGAGGAGAGGGCGGACAGGAGGGTGCCAGGGCCTCCTCCTCCCACAACGCTTCCCACAATCAGGTGGGAACATCAGCACATGCCCCCTACTGAGCAACAGCGCAACTGGCCAACAACTGAATACAATTGCAAAAAAAAAAAAAAAGTGATTCCAGAAAATTACACCACTAGGTTCAAAGGAAACCATCGTTTCCCGGTACTTTGCACTGATCGCACAAGAAAGAAGAAGCGGAGAGAAGCACTAAGCGCGCTCAGGTCAGAGAGGGGACCTTACAAATCCCCACAACGGGCTTGACGCTATTGCGCAGCAGGTTTTGCCAGGAAGCATTTTTGGCGAGGCGACTCTTGCTGGCTTGGGTCCTCCCCTCAACGCCCATGCCAGCCATACTGCTCGCCCCACACGCCAGTCACACGACCGGGAGGATGGAGGAATGGGAATTTGAGCGAACAGAAATGCTTCATTTTCACTTCTGACGCAAACAGCAGCACAAGTATAGTGGCCGCATCTGCCACAAAGAACCCGCAGTAAATACCGAACAGGCCCCACAGACACAGAGAGTTTTACCTGCTGCAGGTGAGGCGTTTCTGCATCCAGGCAAGACAGGAAATAGGTGGCCAATTTGCCCTGGGGTGAAAAAGGTGGCAGGCAGAGCAGGCAGTCAGCAGGGAGGCCGGCTGCCCACGTTCTACTACGCATCTACTACGCCTCAGGTACTTACTCGCAAGGAGCCACAGGCTCGGGGGTAAAACGTCATGCACGCCTGGCATCCCTCCAGGATGGGGAGCTGGCACTGAGCAAAGGGGAGGAAAGGAAGGGGTCAGCCGAGACGGGCCTTCTAGGAGGGGTGCCCGGTTGCGGGAGGGGGGGGGTCTCACCTCCGGTTTGAGGGCCAGCAAAGAGGTGAGGAGTCCAGGAATGTGGTTGGTGCCGATGTCTCGGGCCAGTTCGGGCAGCTGGGCAGAGTACTGCAAGAGGTCCCGGAGAACCAGGACGGCCAGCTCCATGGTGGCAGGGGGGTCCTGGGACTGGGGGGGGGAGAAAGGCAGCGGGTGGGGCAGGGCTGAAACACGAGGGGGGGGAAAGGGCTACCCGGACAACCGAACCCCCACTTTCTCCCCCCCCCCGGGACTCACCTGGAGCAGGTGCTGGAGGCTCCGCAGCCAGGCCAGGCAGTTCTGCGCGAAGGTCTCCGAGCCGCTCTCCGTCACCAGCAGCGACAGCAGGCAGAGGCCCTCGAACCTGCCCGGAGAGCAGCGTCAGCCGCCCGTCCTCGGGAGGACCGGCAGCCCCGTCCGAGGGGGCCGGGGGAGGGAGCGGGGAAGGGTGGGGGAGACTCACCGCGTCTTCACGGAGCCCATCCGGGCGCTGCTGAGGACGAGCAGGCTGCTCAGCGACGGCGACGCCTGGGGCGGGAGAGAGTTCAGGCCGGGAAGGGAAGGCGGCGCTCTGCACGCGCGCAGGGGCTGCCCGCCCGCCCGCCCCGCCGCTCACCTGCGCCTGGCCCCCGCAGTCCCGCGCGCAGCGCACCAGCCCGGCAAGCCNGACGCTGCCCGGACCGGGCATGGCTTCCCTGCGGTCCGCGCCGCCCTCCCGCCGCGCCGCGCCTTCAGAGCCGCCCCGACAGTAGCAGCCGCGGCAGCGCAGCCGAGCGGGCGAGCAGGCAGCCGAGCTCCGCCGGCATGGGGGAGAAAGCGGGCACCAGGTGGGCCTCGGGGGGGGGGGGGCCGCGCTGGTCTGCGGGGCGGGGGCGGCCCTTCTCCCCGCGCACACCCGGGAACGGCGCCGGCCCGGGGACGGGCGGCTCGGGACGGGGGGGGGCGGCCGCGGGTGGTAAACGGGGAGGGGGCGCGTGTGTGGGGGGGTCCGAGGAGCAGCGCCCTCCCCTCTCGCGGCCCCCCGGCAGCCGGGCGGCGCCCTCCCCTGTCTCCCCCCCCCCCGCCCCGCTGCCCTCGGCGGCCCAGCGGCTCTCCTCGGCGGCGGGCGTCGCACCTGCCGCCGGCCGTTCCCGGCACCGCACCTGGCCCCCTCCCGGAGCGCCTCCCGGTCCCCCAAGCGACGGGGGCTGGGGCTGTTGGGGCGGGTGGGGGGGGCTGAGGGACGGGAGTTCCGCCTGGCTACATCCTCTTTTTCCTTCCTTTTTCTGCCGCAGAGTTTTCAAAAAGTCCAGCCCCAACTGCAAAGTAAGTCTTCGGCTGCGGTTCTTGTTTTCCTTTCCTGCGCTAGGGAGGCAGAAGGGGACTGGAGGGCAAACCACCTTCCGACGCCCTCCCCGTGGGGCCTTTTGGCGGCCGTGGGGCGCAGGCAGAGGGAGGGGGCGGGGGGCTTTGGCAGTCCCCACGCCCTTGGGCCCCCTGACTCCTCCACTGGTCCCTGAGCCGGAGCTGCCTGTCAGAGGGCCACTGGCGAGGCTCCCCCACCGGGCTTCCTGCCCTCCTTCCTCCCCCGCCTGGGCAGCTTCCTGCCTGAGAGCTGCCTGCTGCCGGGGCCTCTCCCCCCCCCCCCCCCCGCCTGCCTGGGACTTACACGGGACAGGAAGAAAGCTGTGCAAGCAGCCTCAGCCCCATCTTCAGGGCGGTGGCCCATCTCTGCCAGGGGAGCAGGCAGTGGCGGGACGGAGCGGTGGGGGAGGGCCAGGACCGGTGCCTTCAGCCACAGGGCTGTGCTGCTAGGTGATGCCCCCGTCCACCTGAGGAGGGGCAGCCCTCACCCAGGTTGGCCATGACGGCAGGGTAGGGATGGGAGGCAGGTGGGGTGTCCTCCGCAGGGAGCAAGTCGGTTACTGGGAAACTGAGGCTGCCTGGCGGGGGGGAGGGGGTGGCAGCTGCGGTGCTGGAGGCTTGTTGATGCCCAGCATCTCCCTGGCGATGCTCTGGGCCAGGCTGGTGGCTGCTGCCCCCAGGGAGGCAAGGAGGGAGGCGCTGCCAAGCAACAGGTGCAGGCAAGCCTCAGTCTGATGGGGAGGGGGCTGCCCTGGCAGCTAGAGGGAGGATCAGGATGGAGCCTCTGGAGCTGGACCAGATCCGATGCCAGTTGTCAGCCAGCTGCAAGCTGTACCAGAAGCAACCGGGCAGCTGGATGGGTGGGAGACTGTTGTGGGTTGGATGCTGCAAAGGGCTTCAGGCCCAGGTGCTGAGGCTTACGAGCCAGAGGAAAGGTAGTCCTAAATCAGAGGGCAGGGGAAGGGTCCGCCTTTCAAGGTCGTCAGGAGAGGTTCACGATTCCCTCCCCTTTGTCTCCACCAGCTCACTGTTTACCTGGGAAAGCGTGACTTTGTGGATCACCTGGACAGGGTTGACCCCGTTGGTAAGCAAGCGAGCCACGTAAGAACGGCCCGTCCCCCGGGGGTTTCCTTTGCAAAAACAGGAGGGCAGCTGGGGACAGAGGGGGCTCCAGCTGTGTTTTGTTCACCTGAGGAAGGGTGCCGCATTCAGGTGTTGTTGTTAGTGCATCAGCCAAGTTGCCTGCAAGGTCCCACAAGGAGAGGGATGCAGAATGTTTTCTAAGGGTTCAGCCCAGAAGTCTTTATGCTGAAACTGTCAGGTGGGGGGAGGGGGGCTGCTGTTTCTGGCTGAGCTCAATGACTTGCCATGGGATTCTGTGGCTACCAAAGGCCAGGTCGGCTGCTGCCATCGGGCAGGGCGCGGTGGGTCCCCTGAGTGGGGGGCTCTGCCCCACAATCGGAGCCAGTGGCGAGAGACATTGGAGCTGGGAGTTTGCTCTGGGTGGGGGCTCCTTGTCTCTTGACACCCTCTCCCGTTTCCTCCTTCCTCCGTGTCAGACGGCGTGGTTCTTGTTGACCCGGAATATCTCAAGGATCGGAAAGGTGAGCCCGGCGTCAAATCGGAAGAGGGGATCTTGGCAGAATCTTCCTGGGGGAGAGGGGAGAGCTGCGCTTGGCATGGAAGATGTGAGGAAAGCGAGATGTGGGGAGTCTGCCAGAGAAATTGGTTGGTTGATTTCCACCCATCTCTGCTGCTTTCCTTCCGTCCGAGACGGAGCCTCAAAAGGCCTCAATGCAGACTCAGCCGTGGCAGCCGGCTTTGGCCTTTGTGGGAAGCAGCCGGCCGGTCTTAGGAGACTGATGCTGCCTCGTCTGGGATGGCAACAGAGCAGAATTAAATTAAATTGAAAAAAAAAGGGGGGAGAGAGGATCTTAAGCCAGAAGTGATATTGATTACAAACCAGGAACGGCCAGACGCTCTGTGCTTCAGGCTGGCTATTGGGCAGGGGGGGGGACACCCGGGAAACGGCTCTCAACCATCCTGGCCTACGGGAAGCAGGACTGGCCCTCTCCGGCCTCCCTCGTCTTTCCCTCCGAGTCTCTGGGGCTGGAAGAAGGTGCCTCTGATGCAGCCTCCCTCCTGCCCAGTTTTTGTGACGCTGACGTGTGCCTTCCGCTATGGCCGTGAGGATCTGGATGTCCTGGGCCTCTCCTTCCGCAAGGATCTCTTCCTGGCCTCCTGGCAGGCCTTCCCCCCCGCCGAGGGCAGCCCTGAGCAACTCACCCGCCTGCAGGAGCGGCTGCTGCGCAAACTGGGTGCCAACGCCCACCCCTTCAGCTTCATGGTAAGCCGGCCTGTCCCCACGCAGCCCCTTCTGCCCCCAGAGAGGGCCTGCTCTTTGTCCCGGGGGAGCAGGAGCTCCTCCCTGTGAAGACCCCCCCCCAACACACCTTTCTGTCTCTTCCGCAGATCCCCCAGAACCTGCCCTGTTCAGTGACATTGCAGCCGGGCCCGGAGGACACGGGGAAGGTGGGTCTTGGGGAGGGGGGGCGATACTGGCAGGAGAAAGGGTGTGTGTGAAGTGATAGGATTGGCAGCCCTGAGAACGGCCCTTTCCCTCGCAGGCTTGTGGCGTGGACTTCGAGATTCGGGCATTTTGTGCCAAAAACCTGGAGGAGAAGATTCACAAAAGGTGGGTGAGCAGCCGGCCCACCAGACCCAGCAGTGGGCGCCCCCTCCCTGAAGCCCTGCCCGGCAGAGGCCTCTCCCTGCCCACCCCGCCTGGAAAGCTTCCCCCAGCACCGCTGCCTTCAGAGACCCCCCCCTTGCTGGCTTGGCCCCCTCCCCTGCCCCTGCTGATTGTCTCCTGCGCCCCCTCCCTCCCAGGAACTCCGTCCGCCTGGTTATCCGGAAAGTCCAGTATGCCCCCGAGAAGTCTGGCCCGCAGCCCATGGCCGAGACCACCCGCCATTTCCTGATGTCCGACCGCTCCCTACACCTGGAAGCTTCCCTCGACAAGGAGGTAAGAGGGGCGCTGAGCTGCGCTCGGCCTGCTGCGCGGGAGACCCTTGCCAAAACCGGGGGGGGACACCGCCCTGCCCAGCGGGGAAAGTGCTTCGCGCCTGGCTGGAAAGTTAATTTACCCTTCAGAGAACTCAACAGGAAGCGACGCGGCTTCGGCCGGCTTCTGCAACTTCTCAGGTTTGGGAACCGCGAAGAAAAACATCTCTGCTTCTAGAAATGAGCGTGCTAGAAAACACCATTTTTTTTAAAAAAAAAACCTCCGAGTTGAGGTAGAAGGCAAGAAGAGTTTGGACAGGAAACGGGAAAACCACGCTTGGTGGATTAGTCAGCCATGAGCTGTCCTGGTCTACAAGATTATTTTTTAAAAAAAATCTTTGCCTGTTTGGCTAGTCTGGTGAAAAGAAGGACTAGGGGGGACATGATAGCGGTACCCCAGCATTTGAGGGGCTGCTCCAAAGAGAAGGGGGGGGTCAAATTATTTTCCAAAGCGCCAGAAGGCAGAAGCAACGGGTGGAAACTAATCAAGGAGAGAAGCAAACTTAGAACTAAGGAGAAACTTCCTGACAGTGAGGACGATGAACCAGTGGGATGGCTTCTCTCCGGAAATCGTGAGCGCTCCATCACTGGAGGTGTTTAAGAAGAGACTGGACAGTCACCTGTCTGAAATGGCATAGGGTCTCCTGCTTGAGCGGGGGGCTGGACTAGAAGACCTCCAAGGTCCCTTCCAGCTCTATTTTGATTCTGATTCTGTTTTCAGGAAGCATAAACGCTGTGGGGGCTGGATTTATGTTGTTGGCTTGTTCCCATTTGTCCAGGAGAATTTCCGCAGGTGTTTTTATACTTCTCCAGGCCTGGTCAGAAATGAGGCTGTGAGCTTTTCCTCCCACAGCGAAGCTGCGTTTGTGCCCAAGCAGCCCTTCCCGGCTGAGAGCTGGTTGTCCGGACCGGGGGGGAGGGGCTGGGGGCGCCCTGCGTGCAGGAATGGGGGGCTCACGCACGTCTGCCTGTTTTCCTTCCCAGCTTTATTATCACGGTGAGCCAATCAGCGTCAACGTTCACGTGACCAACAACTCCAGTAAAAGCGTCAAGAAAGTGAAAGTGGCCGGTAGGGAGGGGCCCCGCTGTCTGGAAGCCTGAGTTTGGGCGGGGGGGGGGGGCTCAGTGCTGGCGGTTCCCTTCCTTCTCGGGCCCCCGGGCCCCCATCCCGAGCACCTGATGGGCGGGGTGGGGGAGAGGCATTCCTCAGCCCCTCCCTGGGCAAAGAAGGGGAGGGGCTCCCCGACTGACCTGCCTTCCCTTCTGGCAGTGCGGCAGTACGCAGACATCTGCCTCTTCAGCACCGCCCAGTACAAGTGTCCGGTGGCCCAGATTGAGCAGGAGTGAGTATCTGCCCCGCAGTAAGCAAATATTCCCTTTGTGGGGCTGTCTTGTCCTTAAAAGCGTATCTTGGAAGCCTCAGGGTGAGCTCTACTCAGAAAACGGGGGGGGGGGGGTGTGTGTTGTGGAGCAGCGTGTCTGACCAGTCTTGCTTGTCCCCCTGCCAGAGACCAGGTGGCCCCCAGCTCCACTTTCTGCAAGGTTTACACGCTCACACCGCAGCTGAGCAACAACCGGGAGAAGCGAGGCCTGGCCCTGGACGGGAAGCTGAAGCACGAGGACACCAACCTGGCCTCCTCCACCATGTGAGCCAGCCTGTCCCAGCGCTCTTGGACCGGGGGGGGGGAGTGGGGGGGTGTTTTGCCGTGCAGAGTGGCCCCGGGCAGGCCGGGCCCTGCAGGCTCTGGGCTTGTGGGGACGCTGCTCAAGAGCCGGGGGGGGGGGCTGTCCTTCCACGTGGGGGATGGTTTGTGTGTCTCCCCCCCCCCTCCAGCTCTCCTCTCTCTTGCTCTGCAGCGTGACGGAGGGCATCAACAAGGAAGTCCTGGGCATCCTGGTCTCCTACAGGGTCAAAGTGAAGCTGGTGGTCTCCCGGGGAGGGTAAGTCGTGGGCGGGGGCCTTCCGGTCTTGCCCCCCCCCTGCCTTGTGCCGCGTGACCAAAGGCTGCTTCTCTCCCTGCCAGGGACGTGGCGGTGGAGCTGCCCTTTGTCCTGATGCACCCGAAGCCCCCCGAGCAGCTCTCCCCGATGCAGCCCCCAGCAGGTGAGGCTCTGCCCCCTCCCCCCCCTTTCCTCCCCGGTTCCAGTTCCCCGCAACCGCTTCACACTCCCCCCTCGTTCCTCCCTCCCCAGATGTGCCAGAATCAGACCTGCCGATCGATGCCAACCTGATTGAGTTTGAGCCCAAGTAAGAGGCATTGGGGGGGGCTCTCATGGTAGATGGGGGGGGCAGAGAGAATGGGGCAGCTGCAGTTCTCTGGATCAGAGCTTCGTTTTGGCCTGAGAAGAGGCAGCCTTCGTTTGCATCTTCCAGAGACCGGAAGGCAGCCACAGCACGACTTCGGTCGGGGCCGATGCTGGTCCTCCCCGATTCCTTCACCACGTTCTCTCCGATGGGCCCTTCGGCAGAACACGCCCCCCCCCCACCTGGCCAGGAGCTGGCCTGTTCCTGCTTCAGCCCTTTCCCCCCCCCCCCTGCCACAAAAAAATTTGCAGCCCAGAAAAAATTATCAGGGCGCCCGTGGCACGCTTCCGGTCTTCCCACAGACAGGAAATACTGGAGCAGCTTCCTCAGCCCCCAGGCTCCGGGAGGCTAAACCTGCCTTGGGGGGGGGCTTTGGACAGGGGCACCCCAACCAAAGGAAGTCCTGAAAGGGATCTGTGGTTTTGCCCCTCCCAAGAGTCACCCGGAATCCGGAAGCTGCTGAGTATAAACAGCCCAGCAGAGGCCCCAATGCAGACCGATCACGTATTTCGCTTGGTTCCGCTTGCAGGATGTGGGGGCCTCTGAAACCTCCCATTGGGGGGGGGGGCTAAACCCCCTCGCAGAAGTACATCTCTTCTGCCCCACCTCCCGAGGCCCTGGTGCTCTGAGGCTGGGCGGAAGATACCCCAGCACCAATCGGCAGCTGGGCCTCTGCACAAGCGCGTGCTGGGAGGGGGGGGGAGAAACAGAGCCTGCCCTCAGCACTGAATCTGCTCCCCTTTCTCGCCCCCCCCCCAGTTTCGGGCAGGATGACGACATCGTGTTCGAGGACTTTGCGCGGCTGCGCCTGAAGGGCACGAAAGACGACGAGGAGGCCGATTACGTCTGCTAGGGGGCCCTTGGGGCAGCCCCCCCACCAGCATCCTGTCCCACGACCACCTTCCCCATCTTGTCCTGTGGCTGTAGTGGGGGGGGGTTTCATGTGACTAAAATTGGGGAGGGGGTCCTCCCGGCTTTTCTCCCATTCCCCTGCTTCTACTTTCCGAGAGGATTTTGATGTATATAACGAGCTCCCCCCCCCCCGTCTCGCGCACTGGAGTCATTTATTGGGCATTAATGTCAGGTGGTCCCGTCCTCAAGTACCACTTTGCTGTTGTCTCCCCCTCCCCAACTTCTCTCTTTTGTATCTACTATTTTAAATGCTTCAGGAGATACGGATGGTAGAATTGGGCCCGCTTGCAAAGGGACAAAGGCTTTGGGTGCGTTCGGCTCTGGGGCTCAGGGCGGGCGGCTGTTCCAGCCCCAGTTTGGGGGGGGCGACCCTTGGCCAAGCCCCCCACCCCAGACGTGATCCTGCCCCCGAAGAGGCACACGGACCTGCCGCTCGCAAAGAGCAAGTGAATAAAACAGTGAACTGAAACAGCTTTTTATTCATTTCTTGGGGCATAAAAGGGGGGGGAGGGAGGGGAAACACCATGCAGGAGGGGGAGGGCGGTTCCGCTTGGCAACGTTCCTACGGTTGGCTCAACTGCCCGTTTCTGCAGAGGAGACGGGCATTCGGGCAGCAGCCTCCAAAGGGCAGGTCACAAAAAAAACCCATCTTGGCTGTAGCGGCTGCACGAAGTCCCCTTGGGGGGGGGTGTCTCACCAGGCTGGGTCTTCAAGGCCCCCCAGCACTTGGATCCCAAACCATCAGGAGCAGCTCTTGGGGTCTTTCTGGGGGCCTCTTCGGTCACTCAGGCAACTCCCAACAGCTACCCCTCTTCAAGGTGAGCCCTTCAGCAAAGGGCAGGAAGGGAAGTGGCATGTGGGTCTCTGAGACACGCATCCCCCCCCCCAACACACGTGCGCGCACACACACAAGCCAGCAGCCGCCTACCTGCCTTCCCAGGGAACAGGATCGGGGCTGGGCTCTGCAGGCTGGACCCCAGCTCCAGCCACCTAGCGGAGAAACAGTGTCCTCTTCTGCGCGCGCACGCACGCACCTTCCCCCCCCCCCCCCCCGCAGGTGAGCTCCAGAGACAGACACACACACACACACCCCGCCACCCAAAGGAAGAGCAGGGTGCCCTCCACAGGCCCAGCTGGGCTCCACCTGCCTACCGACTGGGCTTCCTCAGAGGAGGTGCTGAAGCTGCGGCTCCCCCTTCCATCCAGGTCCACAGCAGGCCTGGGGGCAAAAGGGGGGAGGGGGAAGGGCAGGTGGTTCAAAAGCTGCCCCCCCAAAAGCCTGTGCAAAGTCTTCCTGCAGGGTTTCTCTTCCCAACAGCCTCCTTGCCTTGAGGGCAGAGGAGGACACTTAGGGGGGGAAAGGCTTTGGAGGGGCAGCTGTGGGGAGGAAGGGGCGCTTTGCACACCTGGTGGCCCCCAGGGGGCCTGGGAGTGGGGAGGGCTGCCACGAAAGGAAACTCACCGCCCACCCTGGTCCCTGGCCTCGGCCAGCTTCTCTCGCAGCCGGGTCACCTTCCTCCGGTACCTGAAGAGGGGGAGAGGTAGATTGGGGGGGGCTCCACTGCGCGGAGGGGGGGGGACGCTGGCCGCTGCCCACTCTTCCCTACTCACTTCTCCTCCTGCTCGTTGGCCCGGTTGACCCGCGTGGCCTCCCGCGCCTTCTCCCTCAGCCAGCGGGCCTCCAGGGTCAGCCTTCCCGCCTGGGCCTCCTGCAGAAGCGCCCGCGCCTGGCCCAGCTCCGCGCGCAGCGCTTCGTTCTCCCGGGCGAACCTCCAGGCGCGGCACTCGGCCTCCTGGTGCTGCCGGGTGAGCGCCGCCAAGTCCCGGGCCAGGCAGCCCATCCTGGCGGGACAGGCAAGCTCAGCGCCCCCGCCCCGCCTTTCGGGAGCCACGCCGAGGGCGGCCCCCCTTGGCCAACGCCCCCCCCGCGGGGACGGACCCTGGACCCCCCCCCAGGGCCCCTTTCCAGCCCCAGGGCGCGGGGGCGAGTTTGCGCATTGGGCGTCCTGCAAAGGGGGAGGGGGGCCCGCGGGAGGGGCGGGAGCCCCGAAGCCGCGGCCTGATGTTTGCAGCAGCCGGAGGGGCTCTTGAGGGGGGGGCAAAGGGTCAATCTTCATTGCACGCTCCCCCCCGCCGAGACTCAGGCGAGGCTCGTTTCGGACCGCTGGCAATTAGTCCCGCGCGAGCCCGCAGGCAGTTCCCCCCCGCCGCAGGGTCGGGGTCCGCCCCCCCACCGGGAAGAAGGGCTACCTGGCGCGCTGCTCGCGGCTCTCGGCCTCGGCGCTCTGCAGAAGATCCGCCAGGAGGGCGACCTCCTGCCGTAACTGCGGCGGAGAAGACGGGGGCGCGTCGGTGGGACGGGGGCGCCCCTCGGCCCCCGCGGAGACCTCCCCTCCCTGCCCGGCCCTCACCTCGCCTTCCTCGCGCCGCAGCTGCACCTGGAGGGCGGCCGCTTCCACGGGGGGCCTGCGAGACAGCGCCGAGGGGGCGTATCAGCCGCGGCCTCGGCCCGGAGCCCTCCCCGCGCCCTGCCCGGCCCGCGGCCCCGCTCACCCCGGGGCGCCTTCGCCCGGCCTTTGCGCTTCCAGCCGCTCCCGGAGCTGCTCGTCTGCGGAGCGAAGCAGAAACTCAGGTCCCGCTCTGGTGGCGGCGCGTTCCGCAGACCCCGCCGCCCCGCCCCCGCGAGGGAGGCGCGCCGCTCACGTCGTTCCAGCAGCCGCCGCAGCCCGCGCCAGCGCCCCTCCCGCGCCTGCAGCTCCGCCCCCACGTGCTCCCGCCAGCCCCCGCGCCGCATGCCTGCCCGCCGCACGGCCCGCCGGGACTTGCAGTCCGCGCTTTTCTAACCCGCGAAGGGCGCAGGCGCAGAGAGGATGGCGGCGGGGGCGGCGGCGGCGGCGGGCGCGTACAGCCTGGGCCTGGCCAACGAGCGGCTGCGGCTGCTGGAGGAGCTGGAGCGCGAGATCGGCGCGGCGCTGCAGAGCGCAGGTGGGGCCCGGGCGGGGAGGGAGGGCGGGAGGGGGGAAGAGGGGAGGGCCCCCCGTCCCTCCCGCTGACCTCCTCCCCTCCCCCATTGCCCCCCCCCAGGGACGGTGATCCTGGAGCTGTCCAAGGAGAAGCCGAGCGAGCGGCTGCTGGACCGGCAGGCGGCGCAGTTCGGGGCCTCGGTGCAGAAGGTGGAGGCGGAGCTCTCGGGACAGATCCGCTACCTGACGCAGGTGAGCAGGGGCGGGGGGGCGGGGCGGGGCCCTCCGCGGCCCGGCTGACCCTCCCTCCCTCCCCTCCCCGCTTCCTCCCCGCCCCCCCCGCAGGTGGCCACCCGGCAGCCGCACGAGGGCTCGAGCTACGCGGCGCGCAAGGACTGCCAGATGGCCCTGAAGCGCGTCGACTTCGCCCGCCTCAAGCTGGCCGAGCTGGGCCGCGCCTGCGAGCAGATGCTGGAGCAGTAGCGCCGGGTCCGGGCCGCCCCAGGGACCCTCCCCGGCGCGGGCGCCGACCGACGGCCCGCTTCCGGGACCCCGCGCGGAGCCCGGCCTGGAGCGGCTGCTTGCGGGAGGCTGGAGGTCCCCGGAAGTTTGGGGCGGAGGGCGCAGAAGTCGGCCCTCCTTTGGCAGGCCCCGGCTGGTTTGTGGACGCGTGTCGGAAGCCTTCAGACGCCCCATCAACAACCTGGCCTTGTTTCTCGGACTCCTCGTGGTGGGAAAGCCACTGTGTGGTTTGAAGCCCCCCAAATACAGTGGGTTAATTCGGAAACAAAGTCCGGTGAATGAGCTGAGTGTGAGCTGCACCTGGTCAAGGCGGCTCTCAACCCTGAGATAGCACTGAATCCTGGAGACTGACTGTCTAAAACTGATCCAGGGGTTTTCCTCACCCGTTTTCTACCAAGCCTTGAAATGCCAGACAGTTCCCCTCCCCCACCCCGAAACTGCCTCTACTTCCTCCTCCCCCAGAAGCTTTGGGGCAGCCTGGAGATTCTGAGGGGGTGGACAGACAAGTGGCTTCTGGCACAATGCCCCCCCCCTGGTTTAGGCCACCTTGGGACCATCAGACCCATATCTCGGGCTGTGGGGAGGGGGCAGCTGTTAGCCCAGCTACCCAGAGGGGGTTTTGACCAAGGGGGGAGCTTCCCTCACCTGACTGAGCCCCTATGGGAGCATCTGCTGATCTTGAGACAAAGGAATGGAAGGGTTCCCAGAAAGTGGAGAGGGGAAGGGGGGGTGGAGAACTAGGGGGATTGGTCCCCACCTTCCTCCTTCCCTTATTCTTTTTCCTTCTTCCTAGTTGGAAGATGGTGCTCAGCACAACAGGTGGGTGGGTAGGTGCAACCCTTGGAAGCAGCCTCCCCCTTTGGCAGTCGGCTCAGGGCCCCAATGCAAGGCTTTGGCGGCCTCCTTCGCCACCCTTCCTTTCTCCAGTCCTCCCTCCCTCCCATCTTGGGCGGGATCCTCCAGGAGGGGGGCTCTCCAGGCCCTCCATCTCCATCTGGGACCCTGCCAGGGTTGCTCCAGAACAGGACGTGCTCAGGATCCCCTGGGAAATTCCAGACAAAGGCTGGGCAGCCCTGAGTGGCAGGGAAGGAAATGAAGTGGGCGGGGGAGCATCCCAGGCTCTGTGCCACCCTAGCGCAGGACCCCCCCTTACACAAAGATGTGATGGCTCTCTCACACACACACACACCTTTCTCTTTTGTGGGGAAACAAGAAGGGGCCAAGTGGGGCCCTTGTCCTGGAAGGCTGAAGGTCTCCTGGGCACCTGTGGCTTTCAGGCCCAAAAGCCCAGTCTGTTGGGGGAGGGGGGAGCCAGGGCCTCTCCAGTCCCACCATGGCTCCACGGCCAGCGGCAGAGCAACGGGTATCATGGCGGCGAAGAATTTCTGGCGTGTGGCCAGACATTGGTACACCGGGGCCGGGGAGGGACCTTGTGGCCCCCGAATGCTGCTCCCGGTGGGTGCAGGATGGCTCCCACTTTCAACCAGGGTCCCTTCAAGGCCAAACATTAAAAATGCAGGTCTCAATTTTATATTGTAAACTTGCCCAAAACGTCTGAGCAGTAAAAGTGGTTTTGTTCCAGGTTAAGGCATTTGCAATCACAAGTTGGCTATTTCTGCCCCACCCTGCCTCCCCTGACCACCCCCACCATGTAGCCAATCTCTAAAGCTGCTACACTCAGCTGTCCTCTGTTTGCAAATATTTGCTGTAGAATTTCCCAGGCTTTTGTTTCCTTTTGGCCCACGGTTCCCCCCCCCTTCTCAAACCAGTTCAGCACAAGCTGCTTTGCACTCAGCCGCCTGCAGAGGGCGCTTTCCGTGCCTACTTGTCACTACGGGTCTCTTTGAGATGGGCGGCGTATCAATGTAATAAATAAGTTTAATAAAAATCCTCTTTACATCCCCTCGCTCGTCCAGCCAATAACCAAAGTAAGAGCTTTGTGCAGGTGCCCTACAAAGAGGTTGCTCTGCTCTGTGTACAGCTCCTGGCCCTGTTGGGGGGGGGGGAGAAATGATGTCAAACCCCCCCCCCCAGTTCAGTTTGTTCCAACTTATCAGCAAGAAAACCCCTTGAAGGTCAGACATGCTAGCAGAAATGGGGAAGGAAGCCTCAGCCAGACGTGAGTCATGCAGAAAAGGCTGTTTGTCTCCGGGGAAATAAAAGTGCAGTTTCACTTCTATTCTCTTGGGGGGCGAAGGGGGAGGATTGGTTGACCACTCGTCCCTGTTTCAGCATTCAAGGAACTGTTTCTGCTCAATCACGGCTGCCACTACGAGGCGTCTCTGGCAGAAAGCTCAGCAGTGGAAGCTGCTTTTTTTTACAAAAATATACTTTATTTGTCAGAAAAAAAAAACCCCTGAAAGGTCCATAAGAACAGAGCGGGAGCCAGGAAAACTGAGCCACAGTTGCAGGGAGGACATTCCTGAATCCCTAAGACGCAGTTTCCTTCTGCGCCCCTCCCTCCTCTCAGCCCCCCCACCCTGAGGCAGCGGCCGCATGTGCTCCGAGGCTGCAGGTGGCCCCCTCTCCGGGTCTCTGCAGCATGCACACCTGGAAGGGAGAATCGGAATTAGCTCCAATGGACTGAAGCCTTAGAAATGATTGTGTAAGGGGAGGGGCGGGGGGGGCAGGGAACAGGGGAGGAAGGCACACCTGTCCGCCCTCCTTGAAACCCTGACCAGCCCCCTGGGCCTGAGTGCCCTTCGGAGCGCTTCCGCCACCCAGGGGCCGGCCAGGCCATGTGCCTCCAAGGGAGGGCAGCTTCTCTGGTGGGAGACCGCCCCAGGCCAGCTCCAGTGGGAGACGGGGGGCCTGAGCCTGTGGGGCAGGGGTGGCTGAGGAGGATCCCAGAAACGGTGGAGAGAGCAGCGGAGTCTGTTCTTCTCTGCTGCCTCCTTGCCAGGTGTGCCTGACTGCAATGACACAACCTCAGTTCATCTGCTTTGGCACAATCTATTTCCTGCCCCGAGAGTTTGGCATGCCGTGTGTGATAAAAGGGGCTGGGGGGAGCCTCCCTCGTTCTCCTGGTAGTGGCCGCAAAGGCCTCTGCATCTTGCCCCAGAAGGTCTGGAAAGGAGCGCCCTCCTTCTCCCCTCCCGGGCATCCCAAATGCCCAGAAGAGCCAAAGCAGCAGAGAAGATGCTGAACGTGGGCAAGAGGGAGAGCCCACCTGTTGCTCGGAGGACAGGGCTGCCCGGCGGCGTCTCCTGGGGGGCCTCCACCAGCACAGCAGGCCAGCAATCACGAGGAGCAGGACGATGATGCCCAGTGCAGAGAGGACGGTGGTCTGGTAGTGCCACCCTGGCACATCCTCCTCTTGTGCAAGTTGGGTGGGGCTGACCTCAGCAACGGCACCTGCCATCAGACCAGGAGTGAGTGTCCTTCCCATAAGCCCCTCCCCAAGCCCCCTTCGCCCCCGGGCTTACCATTCCTGGGCAGCACAAGGCTCCGGACACTCTCTAGGGCTAGGGCGGCCGTTGTAGTGGTCAAAGCTGGGAGCTGCTGCGATGGTGGAGTCTCCTTTGGCAGCTGCTGCGATGGTGGAGTCTCCCTCGGCACCTCTCGGGTTGACCGCACGGAGCTCAGGGGCTGAAGGAGGGCAGGGCTGGTGGGGCTGGGTTGGCAACACCCCTTAGAGGAGCTGACCCTGGCAGCCCCCTTCACTTTTGAGAAGGAAAGCAGATACGGTGGTCAGGCAGGGAAGGGATGCCGCTGGCCCTGTCCCAAGAGAGCCTTCCCTGCGTTGGGGAACATTCTCTCCCCAGAGAAGGGGCGCCCCCCCACCACCCGCCAAGTCACCTGTCCTTTCGGAAACATCTCAAGAACTGGCTCTGCCCTCTTGCCTGGGACTCACAGAGGCTGTGGGGCTGGTAGCCCCTGAAGGCCCTTCCCCCCCCACCCTTTCTTTAACCTGTAGTGTCAAATTCTAAGTACACTTTCCTCTTTTTCAAACTTTTAAAGTTTACGTTCAGTTTTTATGTCTTTGACATTTTCTTTGTTTATGACAGACTCCGGGCAGGGGATGGAGGCCCCTCTCAGATGCCTCCGCAAGGCCGAGGGGGGCTCTCCGTCCCCCCCTCCCCTCCCTCTGGGGCAGACTCACGCTTCTCCGCCTGCAGAGAGACGAGCCGAGAGACGAGCCGGAGCACCCAGGGCGCGTCGTCCAAGCCACAGATCGGATTCTTGGGGAAGGTGAATCTGCCAAAGAGAGGGCAAAGGGGGGCAAGCTGGCAGCCAGGCTCGGCTCCCGGCGAGCAAAGGAGGGCTATTATGGGATGGGGCTCACCTGATCAGGCCCCTGCAGCGCTCCCAGGACTCCAGGCGGTGGGCGAACCGCTTGACCAGCGACGGCTCGTCGCGGTACATCTCACACCGGCAGCTCCCGGAGGCTCCCCCTTCGTTGCCCAGGGCTGCGGCAGAGAGAGCGGCGGTCAGGAGGGGGCCGGGACGCCTCCCCCCACCCGGGGCTCCCGAGAGCGCGGCCGCCGCGCCTCACCTGGCCGGGCGGGCAGCAGCAGCGGCAGCAGCAGCAGCAGCACCAGCGGGCTGCGCCTCGGGAGGAAAGTGAGGCGGGAGTCGGAGCCCCCGCGACGCTCGCCCGCTGCCATCCCTCCTCTCCTCTCCTCTCCCCGAGGCCGAAAGCGAAAGGCAGGCGGCCGGCCGGGGGAGCCGCGCGGGGCTTTCCAACGCCTCCGGCCTCCTGACGCGCCAGTAAGCGCGGAGGCGAGCGGGGGACCGCCCAAGGTTTCTGGGCGCTGCCCAGCCCGCCTCCCTGCCTGGCCCAGCGCCGCTCCCGGCCGCTTCCTGGGAGGCAGAAGCGGGACTGCTCCAGGGCCCCGGACGGGGCGGGACGGGGCGGGGCGGCGGCGCCTGGCTCCGGCCTTCCCATTGCGGGCGCGAGGGCAGGGCCGACCCGGCGTTGCCTGCTTCACTCGGGTGAGCCGGGTCGGCTCCGGCGCTCTGACTCAGGACGGGGAGCCCACATCCCCCGCCGCCCCGTCCGGGTTTGTCGTGGGCGCCGCGGAAGGGCCTCCCCTTGGCTGCCTCGGTTGGGGCTGCCCGCCGCTGGCAGGGAGGGAGGGCCTCGCGGGAGCCCCCTCGTGCCGGCCCAGCTTCCCGGCTTAGAGGCCCCGTCCCCACCGTCGGAAGGGCCGGAAGGAGGGCGGCGGTTCTGCACCGGTGAGGTCAACACCTGGAGCTCTGTGATGCTACGGGGTGTGGCCAGAGCCCCGCCCACACGCCAAGGGCACGCCCACCGGCTTTGGGGTGCCGCATGGACTCGCCGGTGCCGCTCGTGTGCCTCCTCCTCCCGCTGCTGCTGCAAGGGACCGGGGCTCGGGCCCAAGGTGCCAGGGGGGGCCTTTCGCAGGGGGAAGGAGAGGGGCCCTGCAGGCAGAAGCGCCCCCCTCCTGGGCAGGGCAGCCGGAGGGAGGGGGGCCCTCCTGGGGTCCCAGCAGACTTGTCATGTCAGGGGCAGCGAAGGCGGAAGGCTGGCCCACCGGAGGCTGCACGTGGTCCCCAGGCCTTCAGAATAGTGCCCCCCCCAAGGAGGTGCAGACCCAGCCCAGCAGGGTCAGGAGGATGCCTAGCTGTTCCACGGGAGGCCCCAGGCGGGCCCTGAGTCCCTTGGCTGGGCTGCCCAGTCAAAAGGGCCTTCAAAGGTCCACAGGAGCTGTGTGGGGCTCTGATTCCCCAGAAGAGCGGGGTCTCCTTGAGACGGACTGGCAGGGCGCCCCTCCCACTTCACTGAGTCCTGCGGTGGGGGGGACCACAGGGGCCACCTAACAGGCCGGCTCCTTTTCCGTCTTAGGCTGTGGCTACCGACCAGACTTTGATGCGCCCCATGCCTCCCTTTTGGGCAATGCCCGCATCGTGGGGGGCACGAAGGCTCGTGCTGGGAAATGGCCCTGGCTGGTCAGCATTCAGACCAGCTCCTACCACTTCTGCGGGGGGAGCATCGTGCACCCCTGGTGGGTGCTGTCTGCCGCTCACTGCTTCACAGAGAGAAGGTAACTGGCCGGAGGGCATCTGGGGGGGGGGGAGTAGCGCGTGAAGGTGGGCAGGACCAGCCCTGCCTCCTTCTGCAGCCCTTCTCAGCAGAGTCTCCCTTGTTCCTGGGAAGCCCTCGGTGACCGGAGGCTGCCCTGCACTGCAACCCCTTAGCTGCAGATGCTTTGTGTGCCCTCCTTGCCGGTCTGCCCTGCCCATGGGGGAAGAGCTACCCCTGGCAGGAGAGGAGCTTCTGGGGCCCCTCCGTGCCAGGAAGGGTCGGGGTCCGGCTGGCACTCCCCCTCCATCTGCTCACACACAGACGCTTTGCCGCTCTGCCCCCCAACTGACCCCCCGCCTGCCCTGCCCTCCCCATACAGGGAAGGCATCAGGGTGGCGGCAGGGAGCAACTACCTGGGCAGGAACAACGTCACGCGCTGGGTGCGCAAGATCCACCTCCACCCGCTCTACAACCCCAAGACCTACGACAACGACCTGGCGCTGCTGCTGCTGCACAAGCCCATCCCCCACAGCTGGTTCCACACCGCCCTCTGCCTGCCGGACCACACCATCGTCCCGGACGACAACATGTGGGACAGCTGCTTTGTGGCTGGCTGGGGCCTCACCAAAGCCGGTGAGCCAGATGCCCCCCAGCAGGAACCCAGCAGGGGCCCCGCCTCTTCGCACACACCCCCCCAGAAGTGAGCGGGGGGGACTTGCCCTGCCCTCTGAGGCTGAGACCGAGGCCACTTGCCACCCTCTCTTCCCCCTGCTTGACCCCCTCTAGGCTCAGATTTCGGCTCTCTTGAGTTGCTGGACATCCAGGTGGGCCTGGTGGACTGGATCTTGTGTCTGCGCTGGCTGCACTCCATCACCAGGAACATGATGTGCGCCGGGTATGAGGAGGGCGGCCGGGATGCCTGCCAGGTAGGAACCCCCTTGGCTCCCCCCACCTCTGCCCACGTGCCTGGCCAAGGCCGGACCCAGTCCCGGCCTCCGAGGAGGTGCAGCTCAGAGGGACCCTGAGATCTGTGGGGAGCAGAGCTGGGCAGGCTCAGGATCCAAAGGCCAGCCGCCCATTGCCCGGGCCGGGTTCAGACGCCTTACCAAGGAAACGAGGCTGATTCACAGGATGGTTGACCAGCGCCTAGACCAGTTGATGCGTGGGGCAGCCCCACGCACCAGCCCAGGCCCTCCTCGGCCCCAGAGGCTCCTGCTTGCCTTCCCCCTCAACAGCGTCATCTATCCCCCCCCCAGGGCTGCTTGCCTCAGTGGAAGAGTCAAGGGGACCCCTGCTCAGGACACGGGGAGGGGGGCATTCCTGCCCAATCCTGCCCCACTGGATTCCCTGCCCTCCATCCTCTCCACCTGTCCCAGCCCCTCCCCGATTCCCTGCTTCTCTCGCCTCTGCAGGGGGACAGCGGGGGACCCCTGATGTGTCTCCCGCCCAGCCACAGCGGCCACGGCAGCCCCCGACGCTGGTACCAAGTGGGCATTGTGAGTTGGGGTCGCAGCTGCGCAGCCCCCCGCAGCCCAGGCGTCTACACACGAGTCTCCAACTACCACTCCTGGCTGGAGCAGACCTCGGCGCACGATGGGCGCCCCTTCCAGGTGCCCCAGATCCCCGTCAGCCCCTCCCCGCAGCACGAGAAGCAGAACAACCTCTGGGCTGACGTGGACAGCGGCGTGGTCCCCGTGGCCCTCCCACTCGTGCTCTGCTCTCCCACCCTGGCGGTGCTACTCTGGGCCCTGGGCTGAGGGGCAGCGAGAGAGGCGGGGCCCCGGTGGCCGGCCTGGAGAGACCCAAGGATCCCAAGTGACGTGGGGCGTTCCCGCAGCTTGGCTTGGTGCTTCAATAAATATTCTTGGATAAGCCTGGCTCTCTGCTCGTGTGGGGTAGGGCAGAAGCCCCCAAAGCCAGTGGACCTATGGGGGGGGGACCTTTCGCCAGTGGCGCAGAGGAAGGGGAGGGGCAGGCTCTCCCCAAGTGGCTGGGCAAGGGCAGTAAGCTGAAGTCAAGGTGAGAAATAGGGAAATAAATAATAATAATAATAATAATAATAATAATAACCCTTCTGTCCTGGATGACCCCCTCCCCCACGCACACACTCTCCCCCCTCCAGCCCCAGCTGAGCACGTGGTGAGGTTCTCTGCAGGCTCAGAGGCCTCTTGGTTCTGCCAGGGCGGCATGGAGCATCTCGACCATGGGGGGGCGGTTGTAGGGGGGGCCTTGATTTGGTCTTTTTCCTCACAACACCAGAAGTGGTCAAAGTGGGACCCGAGAACTGGCAAGTACCTCCCCCCCCAGTCCAGCTGTGAGGAAAGAAGTTGCCTGGCTTGGGCTCAGCCCGGCTTGCGGGAGGGAGGGCAACCCATTCCCGGCACCCCAAGGTCCAGAGCAGCAGGAAGAAGCCGGGGGGGGGTTTCTCTGCTGGGCCAGGCGAGGCACCTCAGACCAAGCCCGGAGGGAGCCAGGCGGAGGTGGCAGGTGAGACCCACGTAGGGCTCTGGCACACGTGTGCCCAGCTACGTGCCAGACCACACAGGGCCGTGTGGTGGAGAGCCGGCCTCTGGATGGGCTGGCTGCCCCAGGGAGTCGCCCTCAAAAATGGATGCCCTTAATCTTCCCCAACTGGCTGAGGCGATGGAGGCAGGCAGAGGAATGGGGGAAGCGACTGGGTGGTGCCCTCCCCGTCCCTTGAGCTGGAGGGACCCCAAAGCTGAGCACCCTCAGATCCCAGCACACCAGGAAGCCCACTGCGGGAGCTCCAGGGCAGGTGCCAGGTGGGGCCCCACGGTCAGAAAATGGGCTGGCCTGGCTGGCTGGGTGGGACATAGAGGCCCTGGGGGGGTGGACTGGATGGCCTCGAGGGGCCCTTCCCACTTGAGGATGCCGTAACACAAGAGAGGGGGCTCTTGGCAGGTGAAGGCCTGAAATCCTATGTGGGAACGGAGTTGGGGGTGGGGAGCAGCACCAGAAAGAAGCGGGGCAGCCCACAGGGGGGGGGCTAACGGGAAGAGAAAGGAGCTCAGAGGGGACCCCCCCCCAACTGTTCAAGCTGTAAAAGGGATTTGTACTTTTAGATGTGCACAATTCTGTTGATGCCTTTCAATAAAGTGGAATTGGCTCATCTGGCTGAGTTTGCCCTCTGCCTGCCTGGAAAGCCCTTCGCTTGTGGGGGGCCCTGGAGACCCCAGAGCAGCCCGCCTGGACCGGCCATCCGGAGGCAGCAGTGAGCAGAGGGCCCTGTCCGAGAGGCCTCTGCCAGGGAGGGGGGAGGGGGGAGGGGAGGCGGCAGGCGGGTTCCGGAACCCCTGAGCTGGCAGCGCAACCCGGGAAACCCCTGGCTATTTACCTTTGAAGAGGTGGCGGTACTCGCTTCAGGTAGATGGCAGGCAGGCTGGGCCAGGAGGGTGGGGGGGCGCCCTGCCCCCAAGGGCGGGGCAGAAGTGGGGGGAACCGTCATGGGCCTCTCTGGGGGAATGGGCCAAAGCTGGGTCCCCCACCCGGTGGCCGTCAAGGACCCCCACAACTCTCACCCTGGGGAAAGGGGGGCTCAGGAAAAGGGCTGCCCCAGCCCCAGCCTTGGCTGATCTGGGCCCCTCTGCCCCTCTCTCCCCTGGGCGGCTTTGGGGCCCTGCAGGGGGGCAGAGGGGGCCCCGCTTTGCCACTCACGGGGCGGCCTCCCTCCGCAGGCATGGAGTTTGTGACCGGCTACCGGGCCGAGATCCTGGACTTTGCCGAGCTGCTCTTCGGCTGGTACCAGCGCTTCCTGCTGGACGCGGCCTGCCGCCGGGGCAGCGAGCGGCGCAAGAGGCAGGAGAGCGCCATCCGCCGCCTGCCGCCCGACCCGGCCCTCTGGATCCTGCACCTGCTGCCCAACCGCCGCCTGGCCTTTGCGGTGGCCGACCCCGGGCAGCAGCTGGGCGGCCGCTTCTACAGCGAGGAGGCGCTGGCACTGCCAGACCTGGAGCGCTTCATCACCTTCGTGGGGGCAGGGGGGGAGGAAGAGGAGGAAGAGGAGGAGGAGGAAGAGGCCACCGCCACGGAGCCAGGTTTGTGGCTGAAGCCACCGGCCCCCGAGGAGGACTCGGGGCTGCGGCAGAAGCCACTGAGCTGGGCAGACCCCACAACCTTTGACCTTCACTTAGCCTCGGCCCGGGCCAGGCGGGGGGAGGGAGGCGGTTGGGGTCTTGCAAGCTGGGAGAAGAGCCCCCAATTCCTCCAGCCCCAATTCCTCATCTCCTGTTTCCTCAGGAAGACTTTTGTTTAAAAAAATAATAACTTTTACTTCTTTTCTACCTTACTACTTGTTACTAAGCCCTACCCCGCCCTGCCTTATCCTATCCTATCCTATTGATGGTTCAGCTAGTCTGCTATCCTTTGTTCCTTGAGCTCACACCAAAGTCTTAGCCATCATGTAACCACCATCAAGCCGCCTTCTCTTGCTGCGCCTGCGGCTGAAACCTTGTTCCCCCCCCTGCCCCCACCTAGTGGCTTTGCCCGGTCCTGGCCGTGCTCTGCTCCAGACACCGTGGGGCACCTGGGCTCCCCCCCAAGGAGGTTGGAGAGAGACCCCCAGACACTTCCCACCCGCCCCACGGGCTGCCCCTCCTCTGTCTCGGCTTCTCCCTTCTCCCAGGTTCTCCAGGGGACCTTTGTCTATTTATTAGATTTATTTTGTTTGGAAGGGGCTCTTGGCGACTGTGCGGGGGGGGATATTCTGAGTTCTGCAGTGAGCCCCCATCCCCCCCTCTCTCCCTCCCCTCCCTCTTTCTGCTCTGCAGGGCAGCCCCTGTGGCGTGTTGAGCACCTCCTACTGGTGACCGACGAATATGGCACCATTCTGGGCTTTGACTTCCTGCTGGGGGGCTCCCTGGGGGCAGCTGGGCAGGAGCCCCTGGAGCCCCGGGCCCTCGCCTTGCTCTGCTACAGCATGTTCTGCCCCCTGGGCGCTGGGGAGCCCCGCCGGCCGAAGCTGCTGACAGTGGGAGACCCCGCTTTGCACAAGTGAGTGGGCGGAGGGTGCTTGGAGGGGGGGGGAAGACTTCTTCTCCCCCCCCCACCCCTGACTCTCTCTCCCGCTCCGGCCCTGGCAGGTCCCTGGAGCCCCTGCTTGCTCGCCTGGGCATCAAAATGAGCAAAGGGCCGATGCGGGGCTGGGGCCCCAAGCCCACCTTCTCCTTCCCCACCACACGGGTGCGGGCCTGCCACGTGTGCAAGCGACACAGTTTTGAGGGCCAAATCTCAGCCTGGTAAGTGCAGAGCGGATGTAATCGCACCCCCCCCTCTGCCTGAGCTGGGGGGGGCTCCCCTTTCCAGATCACCAAGGTTTGGGGGCAGCTGCCCATCCGCCAGTCTGCCCCAAGGGCTCGGAGACCCTTCTGGAGCCTTTGATGGCAGCCTCGGGGGGGGGGCTCTGGGGGGCTTTGAGAAGAGACCGGACAGCCTTTTGTCTCAAATGGTTTCCTGCTTGAGCAGCGGGTTGGACTAGAGGACCTCCAAGGTCCCTTCCAACTCTCTCATTCTGTTATTCTGGGAAGCTTGCCCTGCCCCTCCTCTGCCCCTTGGCCCGTCTTGTGCCCCTGTGCCCAGCTCTCTTTCCCCCCCCCCCAGCCAGCACTGCCGCGCCGTCTTCTATTGCTCGGAGAAGTGCCGGAAGCTGGACTGGACCCGCAGCCCCGAGGACATCGGGCACCAGTTTTGGTGCCAGCGCATGGCTGGGTACATGAGCCACGCCAGAGAGCTCGCCAACCTCCCCTTCACCTTTACTGCCGGTAGGACCCCCGCTACACCCCTATCCCAGGGAGGGGGAGACTGGCGCTAAGCTGTGGGCCCCACCTTGCCTTCCCTCCCCAGAGGTGACCAGCGACACCTTCAACAAGGAGGGCTTCCTGCTGGCACGAGGGCTGACCCGGGGATACTGGGTCGCGGAGAGCATGCTGGTGAGGGCCCCCGACTACGGGCTGGGGCTGCAGAAGGGCTCCGCCAAGACCCCCGTGCCCTTCCTCCGGAGTGGTGAGTGGGGCCTGGGAGATGCAGCAGGCATGTGGGCAGCTGTGGCCGTGGCGGGTATGTGCCAGGCGCAAATAGCCTGGCCCACACACGAAAGAGTTCGAAGTAGCTACTTTATTGCTGATGCCTGTTTCACAGGAATCTCCCCAGAGTGGTGGTTTTCCCCTGAGAAAGTCTAGATGAGCCTCAGGGGCATTCCAGGGGAGTCGGACCCCTGCCCTGTCATGTCCACATGGCACTTCCACACTTCCAATAGCCTGCTTGACCCCCTCCTCCCGACTGGGACGGTCTCTGTCCGGCATCCGGCCCAGCCAACACCATTCCGTCACAAACGGCACCTTGTACATTTTAGGCTACAATTCAAGGTGCTGGTCGTCCCCTCTGAGGTTCTTCCCAGGAGACGAGCTGGTTACCTCAAAGGGCCACCCACGGCCGCTGCCCATCCGATCCAGCGGGCCAGAGTTGGCACCCTTCACGCCTCCTCCCCCATCAGGGGGAGCTGCCCTCCGAGCCGGGTCTCCCTCCCGTCCTGAGGACAGAGCGGATGGCGGCGGATGGCAAATTACCCCCGGGGGTCTCCAGACTTGACAACTTTAAGGTTTGTGGACTTCAACTCCCAGACTTCCTCAGTAAATTTTGCTGCCTGAGGAATTCTGGGAATTGAAGGCCACGAGTTTTAAAGTTGCCAAGCTTGGAGAGCCCTAATTTACAGGCCTATGTGAAGGAGTGAATAAATTGGGTGGGGGAGGCCGTGCAGGCCCCCCTCCAGTGAATAGGGAGTAAGGGGCACAGTCTGGCCCACCAAGAGTGGCAAAACTATCTCCCCACCTTTTTTTGGCCCTCCCCCAGGAGCACTCTCGCAGGACACTCGGGGGAGGGGAGGTGGCGAAGACGGGGGTCTTCCTGGCCTCCTCATCTTGCACAATGGGGGGGGGCTTTCTCTCTCTGCAGGAAACCCCTTTGAGGCACTCAGGCCAGAAGGAGGGACGGCGCTCCCTCCAGCCCCCCCAGAGCCCCCAACGCCCCGGACATTCTTTGGTGAGGGGGGGGAGCACGGCCCCTTTCCCCTCCGCTGCACTTCCACAGACCCTCCTCATCTGATCACTGTTCCTCTCCCCCCCGCCCCCACCCTTTTCCTCTAGCATCCTGGAAAGAATACTACCAGTGGCGGGGGCTGCCTCTTGGGGCCCCCCTGGCCGTGCTGCTGACCTACCCCCTCACTGCCTACTACATCATCACCCAGCTGGCCCCCCAGCACTGTGAGTGGGGGTCCCTCGGCAGCAGAGGAGGGGAGACGGGCCTTTGGCGCAAATCGGCTTGAAACCCGTGGCCAGGGGACAGAACCTGGGCGTACCTGGAGGAGCCTCAGGTGGCCACGGGTGCAAGGCCGGGATCACCCGCCGTGGCCCAGTGCTCGGCTAAAGGGAGCGGACTGCCGCGTCTGCTGCCCTGGGGAGGCGGGGGAGGGGCTGAGGGCGGTATCTCCCCCGAGGGTGGGGGTGTCCACGCAGAAGGGCCACCGCAAGATGCTCCCCATTCAGGGCAGCCGTCCTGCCTCCAAGGCTCTGAGACTTCTGAGCGGGGGTCCCTAATCCCCCCCCCTTTCAGTTCCAGAGCTAAACATTTTGAACAAACAGTCCCTCAAGATCCACGTGGTGGAGGCCGGCAAGGAGTTTGGTGTGCTGATGGTGTTCTGGGTAGGGAGGGGTCTCTGGGGACAGGGGGGGCGGGGGGAGGGCAAGGGGGCCACTGTGCCAGACTGAACTGGAGCAGCTCTGCTGGAGAGAGCCTGGGAGAGATGGGACCCGGAGCCGTTGCCTGCCCCGATTTGCAGTCCTTTCCTTCCTTCCTTCCTTCCTTCCTTCCTCCCTCCGTCCCTCCCTCCCTCCCTCCCTCCGTCCCTTCCTTCCTTCCTTCCTTCCTTCCTTCCTTCCTTCCTTCCCCTGTTGCAGGAGCTGTCAGTGCTGCTCCCTCACGTTTCTCTGGAGCTGCTCTTTGTGGGGGACACGTTGCCCCCCGAGTTGGACGGCCAGCAGTTCCTTTTGCAGAGAGATGTGAGTCTGCCTCCCCTCTGTTTATACCTGGGGGGGGGAGGTGCCTTTCTTCCTGCCCTCCCTTTTCACCACCAGAGAGGGGGGGGGGCAATCCTGGCAGATGGATCTTGAGGGATCTTGAGGAATCTTCTGGCTGATTTGGCCAGGGGTGGTGGAGGTCCCACTCTCTGGCTGCCTTTGACCTTCCCCCCAACTGGGTGATCACCTCCCCCCCGCCTCTTTCCAGGAAGAGCAGGGGGTTTCCGTCCAGCCCGGCTTGGGCCCCAGGGCCAGAGGGGGCCGCCGGGAGCTGCAGCTGGGCTTCAGTGCCCACCCCTACCACCTCCTGCAGGCTGCCAAGCCGGACCTGGTGATTGGTGAGAGGACGAGGAAGGGGGAGGCTGGGGGTGGGGAGGGGTCCCGGCTCTGCATCTAACACAGGCCCCACTGTGCCCCGGCTTTCTTTCGCCCAGGGTTCAACGCCGGCTTTGCCCTGAAGGAGACCTGGCTGAGTGCTTTGCCGCGACTGCAGGTGAGGTGCCGCCCGCCCGTCCCGGGCACACAGGGCGAGGAGGCCGTCTCAGCAGCCCCTGCCAGAGGGAAGTGGCGCCCAGCGGTGCCTTCTCAGCCCCTTGCCTTGGCAGCGATGACCAGCTTGGTCCAGCCTGGACCTCCCCCCCCCCCGCCTGACCCTGGCAATGACGATGCTTCTCTGCCCCACAGTCCCTCCGAGTGCCGGCCTACTTCACCGAATGCAGCGCCTACAGCTGCGCCGTGGATGAGGCCGCGGTCTCCATGGCCACGGGGGGCAGTGCGAGCCCCGCCCAGGTCAATCCCTTCCGTTCGCCCTTCCGACAAGCAGGCATTGACAATGCCATGCCCTGGTGGGTACGAGGCAGGCCTTGGCGCCCTCCTCCACGACTGGCAGTTGTTTAATTTCCCTCCCTCCCCCCCCCCCGGCACACAGGCCCTTGGGGCAGAGGGGCCCACCTCGGGGCATTTGTGGCAGTGCCCTCCTGGCCCCGTGCCTGCCCCCTTCCCCCCTCAGGTGCCGCCTCTTCCCCGGCAGGTACTGCAACGCCTTCATTTTCCACCTGATCTACAAGGCCTCGGCCAGCAACCACCGGCAGAGCTCGGTGCCCCCTCCGCAGCCGCTCCTGGCCAGCGGGAACCTGGAGCCGCCCGAGCCGGCCCGCAGCCGGCGCAAGGACAAGCGGCAGATCCGAGCAGCGGGACGCCGGCGCAAGTGATGGGGGGAGCAGAGGAAATAAAGCAATGATGGACACACCGAGACTCTGTGCTGGTTCACACCTTGAGCAGAGAGTTGGACTAGGGCAGGGGTAGGCCTCCTTGGCTCTTTTATGACTCGTGGACTTCAACTCCCAGAATTCCTGAGCCAGCCATGCTGAGGGGAAAGGGAGAGGTTTCCAAGCGGAGCCATGCCGGCTCAGGAATTCTGGGAGTTGAAGTCCAGGAGTCATAAAAGGGCCAAGGTGGCCTAGCCCTGGACTAGGAGGCCCCTGAGGTCCCTTCCAGCCCTGGAACTCGGTGCTCTCTAGGTTGGCTGGCAGCCCCACAGATACCAGTTTCTTTGGTCTCTGGAAATGCCCCCAGGGCGAGGCAGGAGCAGAACGCAGCCCAGGACAGCCGAGGGCCCCAGAGGGCAGCGTCCCTCGCGATCCAAAGCAGCAGGCGCCTTGGGTACCAAGGGAGCCTGGGCCCCAGGGCCCGCCCCCCCCCCTTGCAGGCCTCTGCTCGGGCCAGAGCAAGCAGCAGCCGTCGTGACTGACATCCACCCTCCCTTTGCCAATGCTGCACACCCCTCCTCGGGGCCCTCCCTCCGCCTCTGCTAGTCCCCTCCCCACCACTCAGGTCCGTCTCTCCCGGGCACCCCCAGGGGTTGGGGGCAGAGGCAGGTCTAGACTGGCGAGGCAGGCCGATGGCCCTTGCACCGGAACCGCCTGGCGCTCAGCCCTTCTCTTTGGACCCAAGAGGGGGGGCTCTCCCTGCTCCCCCAGCATCGGGTTCCTTGTCAGGGAGCATCCCCGGCCGGCCTGGGAGACCAAGGAGAGCAATGGGGGGTGCAGGTGGCCTGGGTCTTCCCATGGGGCTCCTGCTTGATGGAAAGACGCGTGGAATTTGTGGCCCAAGGCAGGTCTTCCGTGGCCCAGAGACAGACCCAGCAGCCCCCCCCTTGGCCCGTGTCTCCCCAGGGAAGGAACAGGCCATCCCTCTCCTCTGTTGGCCGCAGGCAGAATGCATCAGAATCCCCCCTGACAGAAGGGAACATGCCCCCCCGTGTGAAATGGGGCCCTCTACTGACCCAGACCAGAGCAGGCAAAGGGCCACATGGACCGCCCCCCCAGCTCAAGAAGGGAGGCCTGGATTCTTATCACCTCCCCCTCCTTGGACCCCCCCCAGCCACGGTCCTTGAGGGAGGTCCTGGCAGTTGCCCAACGGAGGGTGAACAACCGATGGGCAAACATGCCTGGACACACACATACACACACACACCGGCTCTTGAAAATGGGCCGGGAGAGTTGACCACAGGAAGGGTGGGAGACCTGGGGAAGCCGAGAGGATCCCAGTGGCATCAGAGGGGCTGTGGAGGGGGCTGTGGTGAGCAGATGGCCCAAAGACGCTGACCGGAGACCCTCTTCCCCAGAAGGACGGAGAATGTCCTGGTCTCGCTGACCAAAGGAAGTCCCAGCCAGACCCCCCTCCTGCCACCGAGCCACCGAGCAGGGCTCCAGGTTCCTGAAAGCTGCAGAGCCACGGTTCACCTTGGCACTCCTGGCGTTGGGCTGGCACAGACCCTGGACTGTGCCCTCTGCCCTGAACAGGAGAGATGCCAACCCTGCATCTGGAAGGCCTGCTGTGTGGCCCTCAGGCCCCTCCCAGCGCTCGGGGCCACCTGGCCTGGAAGAGGAAGAAGGGGCTGGATGCCGGTGGGTGGAGTGCCGCACGCAGAGGAGCCCTTTGGCCGAGCGATCTGAGCAAACAAGTCTCTCGCTCGCTCTCTCTCTCTCGCTCTCTGCCCCGGCCGCTACACCATGTGCACCGGGAAGTGCTCCCGCCTGGTGGGCCTCACCCTGGTGGCCGCGGCCCTGGCCTGCATCGTGGCCAACGTGCTGCTGCTCTTCCCCAACGCTCAGAGCGATTGGACGCCGGACCACATCACCACGCAGGCCTGGCTCATGGGGGGCGTCATCGGCGGGGGGCTGATGGTGAGTGGCCCGGATGGGGCAGGTGCTTCGTCCGGGGGTCTTCCTGGACTCTCAGGAGCTGCCCTTGCCGGAGAGCAGCTTCACCCTGGGGCCCCTTGGTGCAGGGCGAGGGGCGAAGGGTGGCTCGCTTACTTGAGCTGGGAAGAGTTCAGAGGGGCACGGAGAGGGCCAGGCTGATGCTCCGGGGTGGGGCAAGACCTCCGCATGTCTGGAGGCAGAACACTTCCTGGATTTCCAGGGCAGGGGGGAGCCTTGGGGGGAGGGAGACCCTTACCCCATCTGCCTCTACACCCTTTGCAAGCAGAAAGCCCACAAAGGCGTGACTCTGCCCCCCCCGCCCCCTCCCTCAGCCAAAAGGGCTGTGCTGGGCCGGCTGATTCTTCCCAAAGCTCAGCTCTGCTCCTTCTGGACTTTGAGCCGGGCGCTGGGCTCTGCCCTCGGTGCCAGCTGGTGACACTCACGGGGAAACCGGAAGTGCTGCACACCGTGGCTGCCTGGCTTCAGCCTTCCCCGGGGGGGGGGTCTGGGGCAAAGGGGCACCTCCAGACCAGCCCCCTTCCCTCTCCACAGGTCCTCTGCACTGGCTGCTCCTCCGTGCGGGCCGGTGGGAAGGGATGCTGCGGCTACGGATGCTGCGGGAATCGCTGCCGGGTAGGTAGAATTCCCTGGGTCCCCTTGACGCTGAACCCCAAAGTGGGCTGGGCTTTGGCCAGGCTCGGCCCGAGGTGGGCTTGCCGTTGGTGGGGTCCTGGGGAGTTCATGCCGAAGCCAGGTGGGCCAACATAGGTAGGAGCTGACTGTTCCTGGTGCACCTGTGGGCTCAACCAAGCCTCCTTGGCTCATCTGGAAAATGGGGTGCTGGCTGGCAGGGATGTCACAGCTTACGAGAATCCTGCCCGGAGGGGGCCCCCCTCTTCTGTGTGGGGTGGCCTTCAAAACCTGCCAGGCAAAGCCAGCTGCTGGCCACACGAGGCGGAGGGGAGTGGCAGGCTGAGCCAAGGGACATGGGAAGCATCCTCCAGAGGGGGCGAAGAGCTGCTCCCTCGGGTCTGCCAGGTAGGAGAGGGCAAAGCCCCACAGCCACCCGATGGGAGGAGGAAGGGGCTCAGAAGGGACACCCTCCCCCGAGCGTCTCAAGTGGCAAAGCAGAGGAAAGTTTGCATGTTCAGACGTGCAACGTTTCCACAGAGGAGAATTGGCTCAACCGGTCAAGTTTTCCCATTTGCTCTGCCTGGCAAAGCTGGCAGGCTGGGCGCCCCCGGCCTCTGTGTTTCACTCTGCCCTCCTCGGCTGAGGGCCCGGCGGGGAAGGCCCGAGGGTGCAGTGTGAGAGGGGAGAGCCAGAGGGGCGAGCCCTCCCCCACCCCCTCTCCCTGTCCCACGGCAGATGCTGCGCTCCGTCTTCTGCTCCATCTTCGGGGGGCTGGGCGCCTTCTACTGCCTGGTGGTCTCCTCCACCGCCCTGGCTGATGGGCCCCTGTGCGAGACGGAAGGCCAGAAGTGGGAATCCCCCTTCAAGAATCGCAGGTGAGCAGGCCGGCTGGGGGACGGGAACCCCCCCCGGCCCACCCCACTCGTGGCTGGCAAGGCTTCTGCCAAGGCTGAGCCGTGGGCCAGTCCGTGCCCTGTGGGGCGCCCTTCCCGATCTGAGCTCTCCCCTCCCCCACAGTGACAGCTATCTTCAAAACAAGGCGGTGTGGGAGGTGTGCCTGAACCCCCCCTCCATCGTCCTCTGGCACATCGTCCTCTTCTCCATCCTGCTCGGGCTGAGCCTGCTGGAGACGGTGCTGTGCGGCATCCAGGTGGTCAACGGCCTCCTGGGCACTGTCTGTGGCGACTGCCGCAAAGACGCCGACCGAGCCGTAAGTGGGCAGAGAAGGAGGGGCCTGGGGTGGGTGGGCAGGAGGGAGGGGCTGGGGGGGTCAGGGAGCAAATGGCCCCAGGAGACGGGGGGGGGGGAGTGAGGCAGACTCCCTGGGAACAAAGCCCCAGGCAGGCCCCACCTCCCTTGCTGACCTTGCACGGGGGGGGCTTGCAAGCGTCGGGGGGGCTGTCCCTACATGAGACTTTCCACCCTTCTTTGCCACCCCTGTAACTGGCGCTGTCTTTTGGCTCCCCTGGCAGGGGGAAGGCCTGTGAGACCCACCGACTGACAGAAGCTCTTGCACCAACATCCACTCCTCCACCCACTCGCCCCCTCCCCAAGTCTCTCGGCCAGCAGGGGTGCAATCTTGAAGCTTTATTGGAAGACCCCGAAATAAAAATCTCTCTGCTGCAGCCGCTCCGGAGGTTCTTGGGCAGAGGAGGGGGGCCTCGGGGGTGCTGGGCGGTGGGACCTGTGGAGAAAAGGCCGGTGGTGAGCGGAGGAGGGACCAGGAGGGGCCCAGGCGGGGGCAGCGAGAGCCTCTTCCTTGCAGGGCTGTGGGACCCCCAGGGGTTCCTGGGGCCAGAAGCTGCCGGCCTGCAGCTGAGCTGAGGGCATCTGGTCTGGGGAGGGCGGAAAGGACCCGCTGGGCGCTCCGGGGCAGAGCCCCTCTGTGGCAGGGAAAGGGGCGCTCTGGGGGGGGTGTCCGAAAGCAGTTGCTCCCACTCCCCCTGGTGAAGGGAAGGAGTGGGGGGCAGAGGAGGGCTGCTGGACGGTGGAACTGCTGTGGCCTTTCTGGTGGCCGTGTGGAGGGCTGGAAAGCGGGGGACGGAGAGTAGCCCCCCGGGGTGTCTGTGGACTGGAGCTAAGTGGGGCCAGTTCTCGGGCTCCCTCCTCTCCCCACGCATCAGAAGGGGCTGTGGGGGGTGCCTGTTTGAACCAGACCACGCTGATCACTCACTGCCTGCTGGGGGTCCGGCTGAGGCCTCCGTCCGCTCACTCGGCGCAGCAGAAGAACCGGACGTCGTTGAGGGCAGAGTCATCCATCAGGACGCCCCGGATGGCCTCCTGCTTGGTCTGGATCCCACACAGGCCCTTGCGGCAGGAGGGGCTCCAGGCTCCGTACTCCCCCCAGGGCAGGCCTTGCCCCTCCAGGACCCTCCCATCTGAGCAGAGAAAGCGGAGATTGGTGGCGCCCATGTAGTCGCTGACGCCACGCCGGACACGCTCCACCCGCAGAGAGAAGCCGGTCAGGTAGCTGCCCGGGGTGCACCGGAGGGGGTCATTCCAGTGGCCCCACCTGAGGGGAGGCAGAGGCAAGGAGGATTCAATGCTGGCAACCCTCCTGCCACCTTGGGCCACCTCCTCCCTCGCACTGCCAGGCTCCCCATGGAAGAGAAGCTTTTGGCCGGAAGCCCACTTGCCCCCCCCCCAGGGACCCAGGAGGGGCCTTGCCTGGGCAGCCTGGGGCTCTGCTGATTGCATGCGCCTTTTCTGAGCACAGGGAATTCTCCTGTGCACACACACACACACACACAGTCTGATATAAAGCTGGGGCCAGGGAGCAACACAGCCAGGCAGGTGGCAACAGTCCACTCTGCCTGCCCTGGGGCCGAGCAGCTGAGGAGGAGAAGGGCGGTGGATGGTGTGGGAAAGGGGGGCTGCCGAGGGGGGCAAGCTGGGGACTGACTCACACGTTGCTCTGGGACTCCACCGTTTTGGCCTCAGGCTTCCCACCGTGGCTGCCATCCGTGCAGTGCAGCCGGACGCCGTTCAGGGCCGTGTCGTCTTTCGTCTTCCCTTGATAAGGCTCCACCTGGACAGCAAGAAAGATGGAGGAGGGACGCTCCGGCCACGAGGGGCTTCCAGGGAATGGCCACTTAGGGAGGGGAGGCCGGGGGGGGCAGGCAAGTCGGGGTCAAAGAGCAGGTTGGACACAAGCCGCTTGCCAAGTCAGGAAAATGGGGAAGGGGCTGATAACCTGAGGGTGGGTGGCAACTAAGAATTTGCTCTGTAGGTGCTCAGAGCATTCAGCTCTCCCTCACCTGGCCTGGTCGGTCTGCACTCCCTGGAATGACCCCCTCCGCCCCTCCATGCTTCTTCCCCTGGGCTCCCCCCCTCCCCCCAGCGTCCACCTCTTCAAGCAGGACCTGGGCCTGGCCCCCAATCCAGGGGCAGAAGAGGGGAAATTACCTTGAGGCTGAATCCCGTGGCATAGGTCCCTCGGGGGCACATTTCCTGCCAGGCCCAGGGCCCCCAGGGACCCCCGTTGGACACCCCAATGGCAGACCAGCTTTCTGGGGCAGCGCCAGTCCCCGCCAGGGCTGCCGCCAAGAGCCACAACCAGAGAGCAGCCATGGTGCCCAGCGGCATCTGCCTGGCGAGGGAGCCCTCGCTCTGGTTTTATAGCCTCTTGCCAAAAAGGGGTGGGTGGGTGGTCAGGATCAAATGGCCTCCGAGACCCCACCTGGGCCGCTGAAGGGGACAGGTTCAACCGGTTAGGATTAGGCAGAAGGAAACAGGTGCGGAAACCCAAGACCACGTCTTGAACCCTTTGCCAGAAAGGAGACAAAGGCCGGATCGGCAGGGGGGGCCCTGGGCGCTCCCTCGGGGGCCTGGGAAGCCCCCGCCTGTCCTGAGCCAAGCCACCCTGCCGGCTGGGATGGGCGGGTCCCAGAGGGGCGGCCAAAGGCCCTGCAAGGGGCTGGGGGCTCTGGGGGGGGGCTGACAGGAAAGTCGGCTCAGAACCAAGGGAGCAAATGGAGGTGTTTGGACTCTCACCTGGGCAGAAAATGTGTGTGTGTGTGTGTGTGTCCCTTCTCTCTGCCAGTGCTGGGGCTTGGGACCCCCCAATGATGATCAGGGTCTGGAAAGCAGGTGGGCACCAAAATACCTGCCGGATGGCTACCGTCGGATCAGGTGGCAACTGGCGATTTGGATGGTTTTAGAGGGACTGGGTAAAAACACTGGGGAGGGGGGAAGGGGCTGAGTCGGGGGGGGCGCGGAGGGCTAGAGCCCCTCCCATTTTATCCTACACCCTGTGAGGAGCTAAAAAAAGCCTAAATGCCACAATGGGCTGCAGAGGCCAAGATCTCCAGGAGGCAGGGATAATGTTTATGGTGGGTTTTGAATGAGGGAGGGGGGAGGGGGGGCATCCTTAGCAACTGCCCTAGAGCCAGGCTCTCCCCGAGGCCCTCCCCTCCCCTCCCCTCCTAAGGCGGGGCCGATGTTTTGCAGACCACAAAGGCTGCCCCCCTCCCAGCGTGGGGACCCTGCCAGCCGGCTCAGCCGGTCCAGAGACCCTGAGAGACCCTCAGGAGGGGCTTCCAGCTGCTTCTCCCAGCCAGGAGCTCCGTTAGAGCAGAGCCCCCCACCCCACCCCACCCTGGGCCCCTCCAGCTGACCAGCCGTTCTGAGCACAGGGAGCGGCAGGGACCCCTTGGCCCGCCTGGGCTGCTTCCCCGCTTGGGCCTGAGGGCCGCAGGTGGCGGGTGTGTGTGTGTGGGCCAGGGGCCCTGACTGCTTCCAGGCCCTCTGGAGTCCCTGGTGGGAAAGGAGCCGCAGTGGGGGGTCCTCAGGGGATTCCCTCCCGCTGCTCCCATTCAGGAAGCCCCCTGGTGCCAGGAGGGGGCACCTTTGGGGCATGGCCTTCACCCTTCCCTTCCCTTCCTGGCACCCAGGTGTCCTGGGAGCCCGAACCCCATTCACACTTTTTCCCAGGGCAGCAGCAGCAGCTCCCAAGAGGTTCGGCAGCACAACTTCCACACAGGCGACATCGTGGTGCCTTTCGCTTCCAGTTCCGGATTCCCCACTGCCAGCCCCCCCCCTCCATCGCCTCCTGGGATGCTTCCCTTCTCCAGCTCCCCCCAGCCCTGCCCAGGGCAGCCTCAGATGCAGTGTGGCCCTCTGGGCCCCCTCGGCCCTCCTGGCTGAGCCTGGCTGCCCCTTTCCCGACTGGGCCGGTCCTGGGGCTGATTTCACGCCCTTTGCCAGTGTGGCCGTGGCTCCCTCGGCCCTCCAGGACCCGGCCCGGCCTTTCCTTCCCTCAGCTCCACCTCTGCTCTGTGGGCCAAGCCGGGCCCCACCAAAGGGCTCCCCAGGCAGAGAGCACCCCCGGGGCCTGTGGGGCTGGTGGCCCCCATCCCTCTGCCTCCCGGCAATTCCAACACCCGGACTGGAGGGGGGATCCAGGCAGGGAAGCAGCCCCTTCCAGTCCAGGGGCGGGCGGGGGGGGGAAGTGGCCATCAAAGAGCCATTTCTGAGGCCTGCTGGGCACCGTCTCCTGCCCCCCCCCCCGGTCCGACCTGGCTGATCAGCTGGGGGAGGGGGAAGATGGAGGATGGAAGATCTGGAAGCTTCAAATGGGACTCAGTGGGCCTCGCTTGGTGCCCTGCTCCCACAAAGGGGGTCAAAAAAGGCCCCTGGGGGGAGGGTAAGGGGGGTGGCCCGGAGAGACCGGCACTTGTCCAGCAAAGCCCCCTCCTGTCCAGGGCCCGGTCCTTGATCACAGCCCCGTTTCCCCCAAACCCAGAAGTTCCGGGCAGCCCCCTTTCCAGGGGCAATTGGTTCCAGGGGGAATTGGACCACCCCACTTGGGTTCCCTGCCCAACACCTCCCTGTTGAGGGTCAGCCCTGACCCCCTGGCCCTCCCCCTGAAGAGCCCCAGCAGCCCTTCCAGACGCCTGGGGGGCTACCGGCCCTCTGCCCGCCAGTTCCAAGCCACCCCAGGGAAGCCCGAGAGCCCTGCTGGAGGGGCCCCCTCAGAGCCGCCCAGCTCGGCCCTCCCTCCCTCCCCCTCCCTCTGTCCTCCTCCTTATCTCGTCCGGAAGGGAGGGCGGAGGGCGGAGGGCAGGGTGCAAAGGCCCGGCTGGTCCTGCCTGGAGGAGGCAAAAGGCTGGAAATGGGGGCTCTTGCTGGGGTTCCCCTGCGCCCCTGCCAGCTCCTCCTCCTCCTGGGGGTCTTCTTCCTCCTCCTCCTCCTCTACCTCTCCGGCTGGCACCTCCGTAAGTCGGGAACTGGGCGGGGGGGGGCAGGGAGTGCCCAGGGACTGCAGCTCACCCGCCCCCCCCCCGTGTGTCTCCTCCTGCAGCAAAGCTCCCTCTGGCTGCCTGCGTCCAGGGGGGGCATCGGTGCCCGTGGCTCCGGGAGACGCTGCCCAAGGAGGAGGAGGAGGAGGAGGAGGAGGTGAGAGGAAGAGCAGGGCAGCTTTGCTGGCCTTATCAGTTCACGGGGGAGGGGGGGCTGTATCTTCTTCCCCCTTGGCTGGGAGGGTGGCTAAAGTCCCTCTGGAGTCTTGCTGCAGTTGACGGACCATCAGGCCCAATAATTGGGGGGTGGGAGGGCCAATTCCCCATGGAATTCCACCACCCCCCCCCCGCCTTTGAAATCCCACCAAGGCAGGGTTAAAGTTGATGGGCAGATGGAGGGAGATCCGAAGGGCCCTCGATAGGGAGGGTCAGCTGGAAGGAAGGTATTTTGGGACTGTGGTTTCCCAACTGGTAAGGGGGGGGGGAATGGAACTTAAAACCAAAGGAAGGGGGATTAAGTGACAAGGAACTCTGAGGGGGGGGACTTAATCCTTTCACTCCCGCACCGCCCCCCCCCGCCCCCAGCACTTCTTTGTTTGTCTTCTTGCAGCTGGGCCCTGCGCCTGCCCCCGCCTGGACCCCGACGCCCCCCCTCCCTCTCCAGGGCGAAGAGTTTGACATCAGGCACCTACAAAGGGCTTTCTCGGCCAGCCTCTCCCCCCGGGGCGAAGTCCTCCTCCAAGAATACCTCCAGGGCTGGAGACAGCTGCTCAAGTGAGGACGGCAAGTAGAGGGGGGGGCGGCACTTGCCTCTTGCGCAACAATGGGGCGGGGCATCCCGGGAGGTCTGGGCCCAAAAGACAGGACACGGGGAGAGCTGGGGAGCGCCCAAGGCCAGCGGCACCCTTTCTGCCAACTGCCCACCCCAAGAGTGGCTTCTCCCTCCGAGGGTGCCCGCAGAAGCTGCGGGGGGGGGGCTCCTTGGCCAAGGCAAGAGAGCTGGACACACACACACACACTTTATCTCTGGCGTTCCTTCTTGTCATCTCCTTCCTGAAAGAGAAGGGGGCTGTCTGGGGGCCTCCCCCTGGCATGGCTCCCTCCGGTTGTGTGCCTCAGCCGTGCCCTTGGCCCACTCCGGCCAGGAGCCTCTTCTCCCAGGGGCCAAGCAGCTGCCCGAGAGAGCCCCACTGGCCTCCCAGCGCCCCCCCCCCCGCCATCTGGGTTAAGAGCCGCCGGCCCCTTTCTTTGCAGGGCTGGCAGCACTGGGAGGGGAAGCCTGTGGGTGTCAGCCGGCCGGGGGGGGAGGGGGGTCCCTAGCTGCAGCCACTGCTGTCCTGTGCAGGTTCCTGGACGTGCTGGGCAGAGCCTTTGGGCTGATCTCCCAGGAGGTCGAGTCCAAGATCAGCATCCTGCAGCGGCATCAGGAGGGGCCGCACGGCCTCCACTACCGCACCGTGCAGTCCATGGTGGACTTCGAGCTGGCCTCGGGCTTGGTGGGCTTCCAGTCCCTGCCGGCCCATCAGCCTCCCTCGGGCTGCCGGACGCTGCTGCGCCTCCATCGCGCCCTGAAGTGGCTGGAGCTTTTCCTGCGCAAACTGGGGACCAGCCAGAAGGACGAGAAATCTTCCCGGATGTGTGCGGAGGCCTACCAGGTGGCCCTCGCCCCGTATCACAGCTGGTGGGTGCAGCAGGCCGTCGCCCTGGCCTTCCTGGCTATGCCCTCCCGCCAGGAGCTCTACCACATCATCGCGTGGGAGAAGCTGGCCGCTGGCACTGTTGTCCTGACCACGGTGGAGAGCCTGGGCCGCGTCTACAACGTCACACAGGAGGTCTACTCTGCCCATGGGATGCTGGAGCTGCCCTAAGAACGCTCCAGGGCACAGGCTGCCCCCCCCCCCCCGCAAGGACCGATGCGGGCCCGGAGATCTACTCTCCCAGGCAGAAAGTGGCTTGGAGGGGGCTGTTCCTACCCCATGGACCACCCAGACAGCAGCCCCCTTTTGTGCCTGGGGGTACCCAATGGAAGACGGCAGGGGTATCGTTCTGGGGAGGGGGAGATGTTAATAAACGAACTTGGGAGAATTTACCTGCCCAGGAACCGAGTGCTAAGTATGCCTCGTGACTGCCCTCTGCTGGCCCAACCCAGGCCTTTGACATCTGTGCAGCAAATGGCACCACCCTGCTTCCCGTGCACCCCAAGGATGGGTTGGGGAGTCCCCCCCCCGGGCTGGGCTGCCTCTGGACGACGCCTGCCCCCCCCCAGGCTGGGAAACGGCAGGATGCAGGGGCTGGGCTGTGTGTGCGCAGGGAACCAGGCAGCGCTCTCTGACCCAGGCAGAGGCAGCCCTTCTGCCTTTCAAAGTTGGGCAGGGCTGCTTCCAGCTGGGTTTTTTCTTGGGGTGTCTGTCTGGTTGCTGGACCGACTGGCTCTTGCAATCGCTACTTTCAAGGGGCAACTTAGGTGCCGAGAGGCTTCCGGCATAGAGGGACGGGGTTAAGGTTGGAGGCAGGGTTCACACACCGTATTCGGGCTTCAGCTGGGCCCCCGGGGGAGATCAACTAAGGGCCCAGATGGCAGATGTCACCTCAGAGCCTCGGACTGAAACCTTTCGGAAGCCCTGGGGCTCAGGGAACGTGCCAGAAGACTGGAGCACAGGCGGCAGGGCTCTAAGGTGCAAGAAAAAAGGGGGAGGGTGGGGGGGAGGGGGAGAACTTCAGGCCAAACAGCCCGAACTCCAATGCCTGGGGAAATCCCAGAAAAGGAAACCACGCAGAAACCCAGTGGATAGGGCGATTACCAGATGACCCAATCCAGCAAAACGTCACTCAATGGTGGGAAATGCCAGATTCCGCAATCAAAGGCAGGAAAAACAGAGGTGAGAGAGAGGGGCGGTGTGTGTGTGTGTGTGTGTGTGTGTGTCAGGGGAGAGGGAGAGTCCGGGCGGAGCGCAGAGGGGAAGCCTGAGCCCGCCTTGTGCCGCCGGAGGAGCCGCGGCGATCTTGGGCTGCGGCGGCTGCCTCAACCGAAGCACCGCCCAAGGCCTTCAGGCAAAGTCTGGGCAGCCGTCCGAGGCTCCCTAACCGCCCACGTGGGGGTGGACTAGGTGACCTCGAGGGTCCCTTGCGCCCGAGGACTCCCTGGTTGCGCTGGGGATGCAGACAGCCGCCAGTTCTCCCCAAATCAGCCTCTTCCTCTCGCACCGGGGTTGCCTTTTAGAGGGCTTTTAATCCTGAATGGCACATACACCATCCACGGACAACTTTGCGTGTCGCCAAACTCCGGACCGTCCCCACGTTACGCGAGACCCAGTGACAGGGATGCCGCGCTGGAGGCGTGGGCGCTGGAGGATGACGCGCTTCCGCTGCTTCCGTTCAAGGAGCCTCCGGAAATCTTAGGACCCGGGCAAAAATGTGCCGCTCTAGGATATCTCCAGAGATTCTATTGGTCAAAGGGACAGAAACGGCAGAGGGCCAGAGGGGGAGGCGGGCCCGGCGGCCCAAACCAAACGCACGAGCGCCGCCAAGAGGACCTGCCGGGGACTGCGCGGGCTCCCTCCGCTCGGCCTCTCTCCGGGCGGCGTGCCGTAAAGCGCCGTGCCGTGCGCGTCGGCGTTTTTGCGCCAGTGTCGCGCTCGATCGAAGATGGCGGCGACGATGGCAATGACTGGGACGGCGGCGGGTCCGAGCCTCGGGCTGGCGGGCGGCTGCCCGGACTGGACCCACCAGGCGGAGAGCACCGGGGTGAGGGCGGGGGGGCAGGGGCGGGGGGGGCGTCCTGCCCGGGGACTCGGGTCCGAGCCGGCCCCCAGCCGGGTCCCCCTCCGAGCCGGCGGGCTGACGCTCCCCCTCTCCCTCTCCCTAGACCACCATCATGGCCGTGGAGTTCGAGGGCGGCGTGGTCATCGGGGCGGACTCCCGCACCACCACCGGGTGAGTGGCCGGGCGGGCGGGCAGTGCCGGGCGGGCGGGCGGGCGCGCGGGCGAGGGTCCCGGGCGGGGATTGACGGCTGTGTCGCCCGCAGGTCCTACATCGCCAACCGCGTGACGGACAAGCTGACCCAGATCCACGACCGCATTTTCTGCTGCCGCTCCGGCTCCGCCGCCGACACCCAGGCCATCGCCGACGCCGTCGCCTACCAGCTGGGCTTCCACAGGTGGGGCGGTGGGGGGGGGCGAAGGCGGCAGGACCACCCGGGGGAAGCCCCCAGTCTGCCGGAGGAGCCCCTGGGCCCTGCCTGGGTGTGTGGGGGGGCGGGGGGCGTAAAGGAACATCCCGGGAATTGGAAGGGGCGCTGGGGGGGATGTCAGCGGGGCTGCCTGTGACCCTCCCTCGCCTCTCCCTCCCTGCAGCATTGAGCTGGACCAGCAGCCCCTGGTGCACACGGCGGCCAACCTTTTCAAGGAGATGTGTTATCGGTACCGTGAGGACCTGACGGCCGGGATCCTGGTGGCTGGCTGGGACCGGCGCAAGGGTGGACAGGTGAGGGGCAGCGATGTGCCTCCCGGGCTGAGCCTTGTGGGAGCCCAGTCCTTGCCTCTGCAGGTTGGATGCCCCCCCTCTGCCTACCCGGAGGATATCCTGTCTGGGTGGATGGGCGTTCATCTGGACCCAGCTGATGTCCTGGGTTGCCCCCCCCCCCCGGTGTATACTGGCAAAACCAGCAGCCCTCCTACCTCCTGCTGCCTTGCAGAAGATCTCTCTTACCACCTGTCCTCCCGCCCCTTCCAGGTGTATTCTGTCCCCATGGGGGGCATGATGGTTCGCCAGCCCTTTTCCATTGGGGGCTCCGGCAGTTCCTACATCTACGGCTTTGTGGATGTTTCTTACAAGCCCGGAATGAGTAAGGAGGAGTGCCTGACTTTCACAGCCAATGGTAAGGAGCCCCCAACCCCAGCACCAAAGGGGAGCCCCCGATTTCTGGGGAAGGGGGTGACTGCTTCTACCTGCCTTCTCTCCTTGCAGCACTTGCCCTGGCCATGGATCGCGACGGCTCGAGTGGTGGGGTGATCCGTCTGGCTGCCATCACCAAGGACGGTGTGGAGCGCAAGGTCATTCTTGGCAATGAACTGCCCCGGTTTTCCTCCGTCTGAGATGGATGGGTGGGTGGGAGGGAGGGAGGGAGGCAGTGTTGCCCCTGTGACACCTGGACCTGCTTCCATCTCTCAGGGAGGGGAATGTATTTCGTCTTTATGCATTTTTGGTGGGTATTAAAGGCAGAGAGTCTCCCATCGAGTGTGGTTGCTGCTTTCTCTCGATCCTGGTGGTTGGTGGGGGGGGGACGTGGACAGAGGGGTGGCCACTTGCGACTTGCATGGTAGGAATAGCAGTTCTTCTGCTACGGCTTCCTAGTGAGGTTAGTCTTCGTTCTCCATGGCAGGAAATGGCGGTTTTCACACAACGCATTAAGTCACCAGCAGCCAGGCCCCTTCCAGAGGGTTAAAGGGGCTTAACCAGGCTCTGCCGTTCCCGTTTGGGATATTTTGAAAAATCAGAAAATAGGGTTAATGGGGGGGGGAAGGGTCAAGTGAATGCCGCTTGTCTCCCTGCACAGCCAGTAGAGGGTGGGGCCCCTTTCTGCCCATTCCCCCCCTCACCAGGCGGGCTCTGCCTACTCCTTGCCTTGCCCTGATTGCCACCCAGCTGTGATTACATTGAGATTAAGGGGGGGCACACACCCCTTGGGGTTCATGCAGCTCCACCCTGTTCTGGCAGAGACCAGGAGGTGAGGCCCAACGGCAGGAGCCTTTCCTGGGAGGGGCTGTGTTTTCCGCTGCTCCTGCAGCAGGAGGGGTGGGGGGGCTGGCTCTGCGCCAGGTTGGCAGCTCCGAATAGGAGCTGTTCCCTGTTCTCCCCTCCCCCCACCGCCCCCCTTCCTTCAGCCAGAGGGCCTCCTGAGCTCGGTTTGGGGGCCTGGCTGGCCTGGCTGTCGGGAGGGCTGGAGGAGGCCCGCAGAAGCAATCCTCCCCTGGGGCGCAGTACAGAAGAAAAGAGGCGGTCCGGGTGGGGCCTTTTATTCCTGGGCGGCCTCTGCCCAGCCGCCTCTCCCGAGGATCAGCTGGTGGAGTCCCTCTCGGAGTCGAGCTGGTGGCGGAAGGAGACGCGGGCTTTGCCGCTGAAGTACGCCCGGCCGCTCTGCGGGTCGCCCTCGCTGCTGGTGGACGGGGTGGACCTGGCTCGGCCTGCCGCGACGTCGGGGCCGTCGGCAGAGGCTGCTTGGGGGCGGGAAAGAGAAGTGAGGGCTTGCCCCCCCCTCTGCCTGGCCGGCTGGAGGGAGGGAGGGCGTCGCCCGGCCACCTTACCTTCCGGGGTCTCTCCCTGGTCCGTCTTGCCGGCCCGCCGCGACCGTCCGCGTCTGGCGCGTGGAAAGCAGCTGGGGAGCCTGGAGCCCATCCTGGAGGGTCCGCACGGAGAGGGAGGCGCCAGCGGGGCAGGAGAGGTCCGGGGGCGCCGCCGTTCCGAGCGGCCTCTTTCCTATCCCTTCCCGTTTGGGGCGAGGAGCGGAGGAGCCGAGGCCTGGCAATTACAGGGGGAGGGCGGGCGGGCGGAGGGGGGGCTGTCCCAGAGCGGCCGCGGCGCCAGGGAGGGGCTCGGCCCCCGGAGAAGACGGGCCTCCCCCGCCCGCCCGCCCGCCCGCCCGCCCGCCACCTGCGGCCGAAGGGTGTTTATGTCTGGTTGCCCGCACGCGTGGCACAATCCGCGCGGCCTCTGGGGCTGCTCCTGGCTCGGGTGGAGCCGGCCCGACCTGGCCGAAGACTTCCCAGCCGCCCCCTTCGGTGAACGGAGCGGGCGCCGCCGCCTCCCCCGCCGCCCGCTCCATCCCGGCGGTTTTGAAGGGAGCCAAAGGGCGCCCACCCTCCCCCGCCACGGATCCCACCCACGGGGGCGGGGGGCGGGCTGAGCAAGGCTGCGTCCCCGGCGGGCGGAAGGACCCACCGACCCGGCCAGGAGATCCGGCCGAAGAGTCCCGGGCGCAGCGGCTCCCCCGAGAAAGGGGCGGGAAAGTCTGGCGCTCGGAAAGTTGAGGGCTGCCGCTCTCTGCCCGCATCTCCACCCGCGGGCTGGGGCAAGGGGGGGGGGTAGTTGGGCGACGCCTCTCGGGGGCGGCTGGGACAGCGGGGTCCCCTTCAGGAACGGCCGCCCGGAGGCTCAGGATGCGGCGCAGGGCGCTCCTGCCAGCCCGGCCCCCGGCGGCCCCCACCCGGGACTAGTCGCGCACTCTCTCCGGTCAGCCGGCTTCTCCTGACTTTCTCTGTCGCCGAAGCGGCCCGGAGCGAGGATTGCGAGGCGCCTGGCCAGCCGAGAGAGGGGCGGCGCTCTGCACATGCCCCGGGGCTCCTGCGTCAGCGGGGCGGCGCCGCGCTCTCTCCCAAAGCGAGAACGGCCCTCCTTCCCGGGACGGGAGCCCAGCCCTTTCCTCTCCGGCCCTTCCTTCCCTTTGGATTCTCCCGGCGGGCAGCTTCCTCCGCCGCTGCTTCGCGGACCCGCCGTCGGCAGGTAGCCCCTGGCGCCCCCTCCCCGCGGTCTCCGCCTCCGCGCCCCGGGCGGCGGGTCCCGGGTCCCACTCCCGGTCCGCCCACTGCGGCCAGAATCCCAGCTCCCTCCTGGCGGCGGCGGCGGCGGCTGACTCAGCCCCTCCGAGCCCCCCGCAGGACTCCGCTGCCGGGGGGCGCCCTGCGGGGAGCAGCACCCAGGACGGGCTGGACGGGGGGGGCGGGCGGGAGGGACGGGCAGAATCCCGGCCAGGCAGAGGGAGAGCGGGGCGCTGAGCCGCGGGTAGCGTGCCGGCGTGCCCGGGGGCATCCCTGCGCGCTCGCTGGCGCTGCGCCTCCGCGAACTGATCCGGAGGAATCCCCGAGCCACGTCTGAAGGCCGCCGTGGAAGAAGCGGCGGCGGCGGCGGCGGCGGCGTCCGTCCGCGCTCCCCGGTAGCTGAGCCGGCCCAGGGGGCAGAACGGACCAGGCTGCTCCCCAGTTAGCCAGAGAGAAGCGGGGCGGCTGCCTTTGTCTCAGCCTGCAAGCAGGGAGGGTGATGATGATTCAAGGTTTCCTGCCCTCCCAGAAACTGGCGGAAATCTCAGCTTAATTACTCCCGCGTAGCGCTTCCTGGCCTGCAGCGAGAGTGTGCCAGGAACCCCAGGGGTGTCTCTGCACGAAGCACAGCAGAACCGCCCTGGGAAGGTGGGCTGGCCTTTTTTTTTGACTTGCAGGCCGCCCAGTGGGTTCCTAGATTGTTCCAGAGTTTGCACTGAAGAGCTCAAGTGAAGTTGCCAAGATCCTGGGGGGGGGGGGGGGGGGGGGGGGAGTGCCCATAGCCCAACCCCAGCCAGTCCAGGGGTCGGTACAACATTCCCCAGTCAGGGAGGAGCCCCCCCCCATGGGGCGGGTGGGGGTCCAGGTGAATGCAGCAGCTGCAAGAGTTGACTAGAGCTCCATCCAGCCAAGGCTGCCCTGGGGTCAGAGGTCAGCGTGTGTGTCCCTGGCTTGACCAGCCCTTCTGCCCAACCTGTCTGCCTGCAAGGCAGGGGGGGGCACCTGCTGCCTGGGGAGGGGCTTCCAGGCAGAGGATGACAACGGGGAGGCTTGCCTGGGCCCAGGTCCACCTTCCTCCTTTCCAGGGCTGGCAGGCCACCTCTGGCCCTGCTGGGGAGACCTCGGAAAGCCCAATGCAGCCGGGAGAGCCTGATGAGAACGACGCCCTCCGAGGCCCAGCGGCTGCAGGTCAGGCTGGGCCGGGCAGGCGGGTGGGTGGGGATTTTGGGGGGTGCCGCTGGCCCTCCGGGGGTCTCGGTCTGAGCTCCTCCCTCCTTCCTTCCCTTCCCAGGTCAGCCATGCTCTTTCCCCATGGCGGTCTACGAGCCCAGGCCGCTGCACTCCCAGGCCCCCCTTTTCCTGAACGGGGTGCCCATCGTGGCACGGGTGGACAGCACAGAGAGGTACACCTGGGGCTCCAAGGTGAGTGGGGGCCCTCGTACCCTGTCAGCCTCGACCCCCCCTGCAGCCCCCCTACAGGACCGGCCTCAGGCACAAAGCCCGGCTCTTCCCCAAAGATCCCTGTTTGACCAGCCACTCCCTTCTGCCCGGGAGCCTGGCCCTCTTCCTCACGGCCTCCTCTTGTGCCCAGCAGCAGTGCGGGAAGGAGCTGACTGGGGGACTCGGAGTGTCCTGGGGGCAGCTGAGCCTGATCCCCAGGAGGACTAGGAAGACTGAGGGGGTTAAGGGGCCTGGGAGAAAGAATGGGTTTTTGAGCAAATCGCCAGTTGGAAACACAAAGTGTTTCACTTTGCCAACACACGAACTGAGAAATAGCTACGTTTTGTGCAAGGAAATTCATCTTTACAGGCGGTCCTCGGCTTACGACCACAATTGAGCCCCAAATTTCTGTTGCTAAGTGAAACATTTGTTAAGTGAGTTTTGCCCCATTTTGCGACCTTTCTTGCTACAGTTGTTAAGTGAATCACTGCAGTTGTCACATTAGCCACACGGTTGTTAAGCGAATCCGGCTCCCCCCCCATTGACTTTGCTTGTCAGAAGGTCGCCAAAGGGGATCACGTGACCCCCAGGACACTGCGGCCGTCATAAATATGAATCAGTTGCCAAACGCCTGAATTTTGATCACGTGACCATGGGGGGGATGCTGCAGCGGTCATAAGTGTGAAAAAGGATCATACGTCCCTTTTTTCAGTGCCCTCGTAACTTTGAACGGTCACTAAATGAACTGTTGTAAGACGAGGACAGCCTGCATTGTGCATGCCAGACAGAGAAATAATTGACTGACATTCCATGTTTGGTAAACTGGAGTCCCAAATCATTTTGCCCCTAAGGACGCTCTAAGGGGGCTCCTGCCAAGGCAGGTCTTGGCCCCGTCTGCAAACTTCCCAGAAATCCCGGCCAGCATGAGCAAAGGGCCAGGAATTCTGGGAGGGGCTCTCAGTGGGGGGGGGAGAGGAGGAGGGAGGGCAGCCGAATGGAGGATGCTTTGAATCAAGGAGGTAACAGAGGAAGTTTCCGTCAACTGTAAGTCGAGGTGGTGCCAAGAAGCCAGGTGTTTATTTTCCAGTTGCAGGATATAATTAGTGCTCTACTAAACCGCTGGGAGGGAGA